AGCGGAGAACTTCATGTTGAAGGTTTGGAAAATTGTTTGTCTCGAAAAGAGAGTATTGAAAAGTAGAGCTGAGGATGTTGTTGAGTGAGTGAGTTGAGAGTGAGTGATGAGGAAAGTTGAGTGAGGATGGAGGATGGATGGGTTTATATATTCGTTTCTGTCCATATAAAACTGCCAGTGAAGTTGTCAAGACAGCTCAAATGCATGAAGCTAAATTCTAGACTCTGACTCCAACCTCACAGCTGAACATCCTGGAACCTCAAAGAGCCCATCATCGTGAGGTTTCGACGCCAGAGTCGAATCTCCTCAGCTGAATATGAAGCTATCGAACTCTCTTAGAGCCTCGATGACACCGTGAACGCCGATATGATGCAGAGGTAAGCCCATATCGAAGCCTCAAAACTCCACATCTTAGTAGAAATCGTGAGATAGTTGGAGGAGCATAACTTGAGGCTGAATCCAGACCTGGTCTGAGACGATAGTCCGATGGGCTGGACCCATACAGTTGGGTCAACAGGCCGATAGTCCGAAAGTTTCAGAAGTAAGACAGAGAGGTTGGGCTGGACACAGGGAAGAAAGCGGCCTATCGGTTGGCCGATACTGGAGACATGCCTAGACTCTAACCTTAAGCTTACCTTCATGGTTGAGCGCCTTTCGGAGACACGGTAATGCCGGTCTGGACTGCATAGTCGAGACGAGATGAGCGTGAAGAAGTGAAGCAATGACTACATGTGTGTTGGGCATGCATGGTGAAGTGGGGAGCTCAGTGAGACAGTCTGACTCCGCGGCGTTTCGGGCTGAGTTTACATGCAGGGATGCAGGGGCATGAGAAACTAAAAATTTTCTGCCTCTCTCAGGGATATGGAAAGCAGGAGTTAAGACTTGCCTGGAGAGATATCTTTACATGACAGCTACCGTGAAGAGTCTTGAACATAATATCATTCTTGACAGAATCCTCAATGAATGAGACTTACACAATAGAGGCACGAAGACAGATCCATCGTTTGTTCCTTCCATCGTACAACTACAGCTAGCTCTCCATAGACCCTGGAAAAGCAGGGGTCTTCGCCCGTTATCCCCGGATTTGATGACCCTTGTGGGCCAACTCATGCTCTAGGCCAAAGCCAAGAAAGCCGTTGGTACCAACAAACAAACAAGTCTCTGATGTGGGGAAAGACCGGAGACTAGATCGAGTCAAGTCAGAGCTGAAATAACCGACAAGGGTAGGGAGAAACGATGTGAGAATCATATGAAGTTAGACAGCCACAGCAAGCGCATATAGTAGTCAAAAAGGGCAATTAGCTACAATTCTACCAGACAAACAACTTACCGAAGTTCCAAAATTCAAAGTTGGATGGTTGAATGCTCTGTAGCTTCCCAAAGACCGTTAGTTAGTTCCCGATGGCTTCAATATTGCACTATTGCTGCAAGCGCTTTGACCTCACTCTATACGAAGGGGCTCGACTCCAACAAACTTAAGCACAGACAGAGACCCCTGTCTCACTTCCGTCATACTCAGTCATACCCAGCTCGAGGCTTTCCAATAGATCCAAATTATCACCTCAGCCTTAAGCCTCATGTAACGCTCCAATGCAGGGTCCAAAGTCGGTCTACACAAATATCGGCCTATGTCTCGCTCTACCCGACTCATTCACAACCATCACCATCGGTTTAGCTTCTCTTGCCTCGCTCCGCTCACACTCTCTTTCTGTCTTTGGAGAACAACACTCCTCTATTCAGCTACCCACTCGTCTTAGACTAGCAATCTTTACACATCTTCATCATGCAACTTTCCACTCTTTTCCTCAGCATCGCCATGCTCCAAGGCGCTATCGCGACTCCCGTCGTTGAATCAGCTGCCGAAGTTGAGACTCGCGATCTTGCGCCCAGAGCTCCTGCTCTCGGAGATCTTCCCTGGCCCAAGTTGCCAACACTAAAGAGTAAGGTGATCTAGAGAATCTCAAAATCTTCCATTCTAACAGGTCAGAAGGGGCCAAGAAGGGTGGCAAGGGAGGCAGCGACTGCGCTTCTTCAGATCCCCCAGAGAACCAGCAAACCACCGCCTGTTCCTCTGGAACGCAGTTCTGCTGCACTACTGACGGCTCTGGCAGTAAGTATCTCATTTTATACTTCTTTCACGACTATCTTAACACATTTTAGCTCAAACATGCTCAAACTCTGAGGTTTGTAACGCAAAGATCATTTGCTGCAACAACAACAACGGCGTAAGTTCGAAATCTCTCATCGCCCATCCGTTCTCATGGTTTCTTACGACCTCTCTAGTTCCAAATGTGCATCGGTGAGATTGACTTTAACGCGCCTGTCACTATCAATATCAACATCTACAAGGGCGGAAAGGGCAAGGGTGGTGGTAAGGGCAAGTCCTACAAGGCTTAGAGTTAGACAGAGCTTAACCTTTGGAACACTGTGCCTGTGCTGATTTCTTTTCACAATCCTTATGTATGGATTTAAATTGGAGATGGGGTGGTAAATATGTATATGCTAGTAACGTACCTGCTCAACTTGAAGGACAGCAAGTCCCTCCTTACCACATCATACCATCAGTCGTTCCATAATTCCAGTTGACTTCGACAATAACGTGTTGGTCCCAGTGCAAAGTGGTGAGGTCTCTGGACTCTGGCAGACGTTGTTGAAGGGCTCCGCAACATGATGTGAGCTGATGGAGTTGGGTGGGCTAGGGACTGCCAATTCTTACCAGCTGTCATAGCTATCCGAATTGGGATAGGAGATCCGCCCTGCGATCCCCAACATTGCCTTCAGCTTTCCAGATCTGCAGTCAGTGTTGTCAGTATCAACTAACTAGCTAGAGCCTCACCTGAACCGTGCATCCTTAGCGGTCTTCTCCATCCGTTGTGAGCCAAGAGGCTAGCATCGCACGCGAATCTTAGCCTAGTGTGGCTGGTATCAACATGGAAGCTGGAGATCGTCAACTAGCTCTCTGTCAATCGCTACGCGTAGACCTGACTTGCTGTAATCATCATACCGTTTTGCGGATACCTGACTATCACAGTCAATGGTTTGGCGAACCTGAGCGAAGTCTGGTCTCCAGCTAGAACTTCACGACTCTCGGTTCTTGGCAGCCACCTCACCCGATTTCACGGCTCTCAGACCCGTGATCATAAAAAAGGCTGAAACTAGTACCTGAACAGGCTGATTTTCTGGTCTCAGATTGGATTGAGGCTACTGTGGCGGGAACAACGAGAGACTGACCCCTGTCAGCTTTAAATCCAATAGCCACCTGTCTAAATTTAGTCACTAGCGGCAGACGACTTGTGAACGGTGATTTCCTGTTGAGGATCTTCTGTGATGTTTGAGGGATAGCTCAGTGAGGGGAAACCCCGCAAACACAAGAGGATCTCTACCACATATTCACATTCCGTAAGAAGCTGATCATTTCAACCACCTTCTTTATTCCAAGGCTTTGTTGGTTGTTTTTAGCGGTCTGTTAACTCCACCGCTACTGAAAAACTCAAGTGATTTGTGCATAACGCGGCAGGTATGCATAAGTCGAGAAACGTGGCCGGCTGCCAACTGAAGCTCTCACGCCTCACACTTCGGAGCCGACAGTCCGGAATGTTCTCTGCATAAAAAAAAGGCAAGAGAGTTTTTTCTTTGACATAATTGCCGGATTTCCCGTTTGTTTTGTTTGTTTGTTTGTTGGGTGGCAAGTGATACAAAGTTTGACTACTGCAAAGCCCACCAATGGGGTGATTGATAGACTCAATAGTCCAGTCCAATAGTCCCAGGCACGCATATGATAGTCTCTTCGTTTACTTGCGAATAAGAAAGGATGGAGAAAACACGAGCCTTGGATTGCCACTTGCAGGTGGGCTGCCGGAATGATTCGCGATTCGTTCAATTGAACTATTTCCCCGGAGTGACTATCGTATATCACATCTACTGGTCTCAAAGCCCACTTGGCAAATGCCGGGGTAATTGATTCTAGCCAAAACACTGTCCCAAATGCCCGGTCCAAGGGTCCAGAATGGTCTGATCAATACTGCAGAGCACTGTTATCAGATCCTGGATCCTGGATCCGGGGGCGGTGGACCGACACCGGTGAGAAAATGAGTCCACAAGTCGGACTGTCGGACTGAGAACATGTCCGATGTACCGTTTTGCCCTTGAGTGCGTTATGCCTTTCCGTACGGCTGGAGATGGAGGCTACGAGGCTTGAAGGAGTGAGGAGAAAGTGACGGAAACTTCTCCAGCCAGTGTCATGCTGTGTAAGACTTTGAATTGACGGAGAAGGCTGAGGTCGAGTGTAAAGCGTGTCCCTCACTGGTGACAACCCGTGGCAGTACCTCTGGCATGCCCACTCTTGCTGTACTACCGGCTTCTCACGATACCACGCAACTTTGAGGTGTACAGTTAACAAATCGTATGTTTGAGAACGGATAGCCCCTTGGCCTGTACTTTGCAGTGACACGGCGCCGTAGCATTGCTTGCATGGATGCCGTAACTTGTGTGGGGGATGACTCGAACCTACGGAGTAAACACAGGTCCCACCATCTGAAAACCTCCAGGGTAGTTTATTAAGAACAACGATAACGGTTGTTGAGCACTAAAATGTACTGCTTAAGTAGACTGGTCGTAGTATTGTTATCAAGCTTTTCAACGGCAAGTCTGCAATGATTGAGGGTAAACATGGCTCGATTTGTAGGAACATCGTTGGCAATATTCGTGAAAGACATGAAGCATTTGATATTCTACATGTTTAGTACAAACTCCGTGATTTTGACAAGTCAGGTTGATTTCCAGACCAATATTAAATTACAATAAGTCCAAGTACAGAATATCGGGATTCTGTGTATAAACTCCCACTTCACCCATGAACATCAATTCGTTTCATTTTAATTCATCTTCATATCTATATCCCAGTCATAATGCCAGAGTAACTAACGAATATCTTAGCTTTTGTCCTCTGCTGCCGGTCCTCTATGAACAGCGCCACTTTCCTTCAGCTTCTCCAATACCTGCGGGCTAACAGACCTCCCAAACGTCTCTCTCACGTCCTCAACAAGTTCTTCGGGCCTCTCAATGGACGCAAAATGTCCACCACTAGTGTGAATCTTTTCAAATACAACAGGACCCAGTGTCCTTCCCCAAGTCTTGGGAACAAACACAATATCCTTGGGAAAGTATGAAAGACCCAGCTGAACACCAGGAATCCAGTCATTGACCTTCTTCGTCAACTCCTGGTCCGCATGCCGGCTCTCGTAGTAGATCCTCGCACTAGCTGCTGGACCCGCTTTGGAGAACTGGTACAGCGAAACCCACGTGAGAATTTCATCGTCGGTCCATTTGTAGTCATCAGTCCAGTCATGCAGCTTCTCGTAAATCCAGGCTAGCAGGGCCACTGGAGAGTCGGCCAGGCCAAAACCGATAGTGGATGGCTTGGTGCTCATGATCAAATTATAGGCAAGGCCTTCGTTAAAGAAGTTCTTCATTTGCTCAATACCCTTTTTCTCTTGTGCTGTGAAGGGGAAGAGCCAGAAGCGGAGGAATTGCCAGGGCGTTTTCAAGGGGTTGGGAGGGCTGACCGCTGGGATCATGTTCATGTGAGAGGCTAGACAGTGTTCGGGATACTGAGCTCCGATCATTCGCGTGATTATATAACCCCAATCGCCTCCTTGTGTGACTTGGAAATAATTAGTTTTGTGTTTTTGAAAAGGAATTGCTAGCTTACCATATTTATCATACCCCAATTTCAACATGAGCTTGTGCATGGTCTCGCCATATCGCGGGATGCCAAAGCCACGCTTCGATACACCATCAGAGAAGCAATGATTTGGCAGGGATGGTGCAATAACATGGAACGAAGGTCCATCTTTGGGTTCAGTCAACAGAGGAAGCAACTTGAAAACCTCTGCAAAGCTCCCAGGCCCTATATCAGATGTAAGCTTCACGTTCAGCTACAAAGCCGCTGATAATCTACTCACAACCATGGAAAAAGAGCAGAGGAATACTATCAGCTTTGCTACTCCTCTGATGCAAGAAGTGAATCTCAAGATCCCCAAATCCATCCACAGCAACGTTGGTTGTGAACTGAGGATATTGGTTCAACTTGGCTTCTTGGGCCCGCCAGTCGAATCCATCTTTCCAGTACGCAGCAAGACGCTTCACGTCGCTAAGACCTGCGCCGTAGGTCCAGTCATCAGAGACTTCGTCTTCTGCGGGGAACCTCGCACTTTCGAGTTTGTTTTTCAAAAGCTGAATTTCCGATTCTGGAACATTGATTTTGTATGGTTTGATATTGTCTGCCATTGTGGATGGGCGCAATATGATAAGGCTAACAAACGAGAGGTATCGGTGAAGCTATCACGAGTGTCCCACAGGCTATTTTAAGTGTCTTGTTCGATCAAAGGCATCCCTTAAACTATCGGCATTTACGGAAAGACCGTCATGGTGCTCTGTTGACGTCGTCAATTTCACTACCCCTGCCTTCTTCCTATTCTAAGCGGGCACCACAGGACTCTAACTAGTGTCAGCCAACCTGAGTCAAAGCGATCGAATCCTTCAACAGTTTCAGTCTCCAGCGGCGGACATCCGCCGAAACCCTGTATCAGAAGCTGGGAATAGAGCGATATGAAGGATCTGAGCGTTGCCTATCCGGACAACACACGAGTTGCCGGAACCGAAAGTCGTAAGGCTAACCGATGCACATGTACGGTGGGTAGCATTGTAACGAGGGATTCAAATTTTCCCTCAACTGGAGAAGCAATCGCCAAAAAGGAGTCTTTAGTTACGTAGGTTGTGCAAGGGGCTGGCTTTTGTATCAGAATCCTTCCATGAAGATGAAAGGGCCTTTTCACGTCATGATAGAAAGATCCCAAGGCCCTTCTAGCCCAGTTGAGAAACCAATATGTCTGTATGGGCCGATTCTATTCCTTTGCAGATCAATCCTTCGAAAAGTGGATGTCGGCCTTTAGATAACCATCAGGGGCCCAGTATTTGGCCAAGATTATCTCTGTCCACTGAAAATCGGTAGGATTATGAGATAATTGGGCCAGGTTTCAGGACAGAACCACTGAACCACAAGCCTGATGAGCCTTGCCACAAGGAAAGGAAGGACTTACGGCTGTCAGGGAAGGGGATTGACTTGACCGTTGGGGTGACATCCATCCATCCGCAGATCAACTGAAGTCCCACAAGCAGGAATGAGAAACATGATGGACTCTCGAGTCAGAGGTGGTGCTAAGACATGGCAATGGCGATTGGATATTTTAGGGTATGGTTAGTGGAGGTGGACTAGGTGGTACGGAAGGATCAGACACAAGGTTTCGGTATTTCACGATATTCCCCATAGGGCGAATTTCCCGCAAGGTCGCCGATCATAAGCGGCGAATGTTGCCCTGTTCTTTAGTTAACTTCTCCACCGGGGCATGTGTCCTATCTTGACATGGATCCAGCGCCTCTGAGATGCAGAATCCTTACGGCTGTCCCCGCGGAAGATATACCTCTCTATCGACACGGCACCACCACCTCAAAATGACAGTTTTCCCTGGCCAAGATAAAGAAAGCTTGGCCTTGTTACATTGTCATCCTGGTGGATACTGACCTGCCTGCAGCGTGGGGTTGAGGATGACAATCCTTGCTGGCGGTTAGACCCCTGTTAGCTTTTCTCACGCCCATGGACTTACACCCTCTGACGGAATGCTTAGTATCAGATCTCTGGGCGTAAGAACGACTTGTATTACGGGATACGTGAGAAGGCAAAGAGAAGACACAAGGTCAAAGACATAAAAGCAGCAAAAACGTACGACAAGAAGCGGAAATACTCATCTTCATACTATCCACTTCAATTTGTTTACCCCAGCACCATGGACTTTACATACCGCTACTCATTTGAGCCTACAGATTACGACACTGACGGTCTGTGTGATGGTGTTCCAGTACGTATGCACAAGGGTGCAGACCTGGATGAAGTTGCCATCTTCAAAGCCCAGTACGACTGGGAGAAGCATGTTGGTCCAAAGTTGCCCTTTCGAGGTGCTTTAGGTCCTAGACACAACTTTATCTGTCTTACGCTACCTGAGTGTCTGCCTGAGAGGTTAGAGATTGTGTCTTATGCCAATGAGTTTGCTTTCCTTCACGATGGTGAGTTGGTAGTGATCTTGGATGCTTTTCGTTACTGACTCAGACAGATATCACTGATGTTGAGTCAGCTGAAACGGTAAGTCTGAGACCCTTTCTTCTTAGTTAATAGCTAGTCTAACTATGCACAGGTTGCTGCTGAGAATGATGAGTTCCTTGATGCCCTTCAACAGGGTGTTCGAGAAGGCGACATCGAGAGTCGTGCTTCTGGAAAGCGTCATCTTCAAGCTTGGATCTTCAAACAGATGGCTGCCATTGATCGTGAGCGAGCCATAGCAGCCATGAACGCTTGGGCCACTTTCATCAACACAGGTGCTGGATGCGCCCACGACACAAACTTCAAGTCGCTCGATGACTATCTCCACTATAGATCTACAGATGTCGGCTACATGTAAGTCATCCAGCTCACCCAAGTTAATATTTACTAACAAGCAACAGGTTCTGGCATGCTCTCATCATCTTTGGTTGTGCCATCACTATACCCGAGCATGAGGTTGAGCTCTGCCACAAACTTGCTCTCCCAGCCATCATGTCAGTCACTCTGACAAATGACATCTGGTCATACGGTAAGGAGGCAGAAGCGGCAGAGAAGTCCGGTAAGCCTGGCGACTTTGTCAATGCTCTTGTTGTCTTGATGAGGGAACACAACTGTTCTATCGAAGAGGCCGAGCGCCTCTGTAGAGCACGAAACAAGACCGAAGTAGCAAAGTGTCTCCAGATCACGAAGGAGACACGTGAGCGAACCGATGTTTCTCAAGATCTCAAGGACTATCTGTACCACATGCTGTTTGGTGTCAGTGGAAACGCTATCTGGAGCACTCAGTGCCGAAGATACCACATGGATGCACCCTACAATGAGCGACAGCAGGCCAGACTCAACCAGAAGAAGGAGGAGCTTTCTTCAACGTATGACCCTATTCAGGCTTTTAAGGAGGCGATGCAGGAGTCTACTCGGCCTGAGATTCATAGGCTGCCTACTCCTGACAGTCCTGCTAAGGAGAGCTTTGCTGTTCGGCCTCTAGTCAATGGTACTGGGGAGTTTGACGGCAACGGCTACGTCAATGGTCACGAGTCCAACGGACTTCCCAAGCCTGTTGTCAATGGGCACTCTGATGCTGAGGAGCGTCCCGCCTTTGAGAGGAAGGGCTCTACTAAGCGTGCTACCTCAGCGGATGACATTGATTGGACGGCACACAAGAAGGTGGACCATGGCAATGGTCACAAGAAGACTCTGTCAGATCTCATGCTACAAGACCTGCCTCCCATGGAAGATGATGTAAGTTCATACTGCCTGCGTTTCGCACATTGCTAATCAGATCCAGGTTGTCATGGAACCATACCGATATCTCTGCTCCCTTCCCTCAAAGGGTGTTAGAAACAAGACTATTGATGCTCTTAACTTCTGGCTCAAGGTCCCTGCCGAGAGAGCAAACACCATTAAGTCCATCACCGAGAGCCTCCATGGCTCATCACTCATGTAAGTCATCCACCTTACTGAATCATCTTTACTTACTGAGATTTTCAGGCTTGATGATATCGAGGACCACTCTCAGTTAAGACGTGGCAAACCTTCAGCGCACGCCGTCTTTGGCGAGGCTCAAACCATCAATTCTGCTACCTTCCAGTATATCCAATCTGTTAGTCTGATCAGCAAGCTTCAGAGCCCCAAGGCTTTGGGTATCTTCGTTGGTAAATCATCATTGAGCCAGGGTTTACTGCCGAAGCTAACGACTGCACAGATGAGATTCGACAACTCTTCATTGGCCAGGCTTACGAGCTTCAGTGGACTTCCAACATGATTTGTCCATCTTTGGAGGAGTACCTCCAAATGGTAGACGGAAGTAAGTGATGTTCACGATTACTTTGCAGTCAGTTTGCTAACTCTGGTAGAAACCGGTGGTCTATTCCGCCTCCTTACACGCCTTATGGCCGCCGAGTCCACAACCGAGCAAGATGTCGACTTTAGCCGTCTTTGTCAGCTCTTTGGCCGCTACTTTCAGATTCGCGATGACTACGCCAATCTCAAACTCGCCGACGTAAGTCTACCTTCCATTACCATCCAATCTCTACTAACAATCATAGTACACCCAGCAAAAAGGCTTCTGCGAAGACCTTGACGAGGGAAAATTCTCTCTACCGCTCATCATCGCCTTCAACGAACAGAACAAAGCTCCCAAGGCCGTTGCTCAACTCCGCGGTCTGTTGATGCAGCGCTGCGTGAACGGAGGACTTACCTTTGAGCAGAAGGTCCTAGCGCTGAGTCTTATCGATGAGGCTGGTGGTATTGAGGGTACAGAGAAGGTTTTGCATTCTCTTTATGGTGAGATGGAGGCTGAGTTGGAGAGATTAGCTGGAGTCTTTGGCGAGGAGAATTGCCAGCTTGAACTCATTCTTGAGATGTTGCGCATAGATTAGTCAGTTGCCATATTATATACGGGAAATTGAAATTGGATCATGTTCAGAATCAACTACTACGTGTTCCACGGGTTATGTGTGAAATTCCTAGGCTCTACTGCGATGAAGCAATAACCTGTCCAGCTGTAAACAAATGATGCTGCTATTAGGATGAAAAGCTTTGTATCTACATGTGTCATTCTGAGTTGCATATCTCATTCAAGAAGGTTATGTTAAAGTAACAAAGGATAAAACATTGAAACCTTCATCCTCTTGTTCTTTCACGCCATGGTATCACTTACAATTATTGTGTGATTTGTTATAAATTTCAAGTCCCATCTAAAACAAGGCTTTGCTCTATAAAATCTACTCTACGAGCTATGAATTCTATAGAAAACTTATTATCAACCTACAATTTGATCTTGCTTGATATCTACTGATGGAGATAATTAATCTTATTTCAGATGAAGGCAAGATTCATTCTCCTAACCTATAGCTCCGATCTTTCATGGCATTCGTTTGTTACTCCCGGCTCTGCGGCGCTACGGTGAGCACGAAACGATTGATCGGGCATTCAATAACTCCGCACTCTTATGTCAGATTGATCAGTCTACGCGCGTCCAGCCAGATAGTTCTTTGACCCGTCGCCATGTCAAAGTTTCTGTCTCTCGCCGCGAGCCAATAAGGTTCGATTCTATACGAGGCCCAGTCACGCAAGATGTCAAGGTGCAAGTAATCCATAAATCAAGGATTGCCATGATCTTTCTTGGAGAAATGGAGATCATACGAATTGCCTATAGTGGTAGAGTGGTATCGTCTAGTTGCCCTTGCATACTGACAAGGGGGGTGTGAAGGTCGACGCAAAACTGCAAGCTTATCTTAGACATCCACTTCCCCTGCTACGGCACGGTCCGTGGACGCGGTCAGCTTAGCAAACCAACTCCGCCTCTTATTTTTGTAGTTCGTAAAGGGTGTCATGGAGCGATGGAATATCCACACCAAGATCTTGGTATTAGCTTATGGTCATTATGGGAATCTCGGCACTGGGCATTGCCAGTAGACGGCCCGTAAAGCCATGTACTTGTCGTCTATTTCCCAACCCCTCCCCCATGACCAAATAACATACGACTCCTGTCTCCGCTAAAGGATCTGGATGTACTTCGCCTGCCGGGATAAGGATTGTCGTTTCTCCACCCATAACCCGCCTTGTAATCATGTGGCCAATCTTTTCTGACGAGCATGTACTTCGCAAGGTCCCCCCACGTGCTTACTCTTGTGTCACCGTTAAGATGCATCTTGGACACCATCCTTCAGAAAAATCTTCCGAATTGAGGGTGTGCTGCCAAGGTACTGTAGTTGACGAACCAGGGGTAGAATCCTTCCAGGAACCCTCCGGCAGTTATCCACATCTTACGCTAAGTGAGAGAAACCTTCCGCTCCGGCATTGAACCTTCTGTCACGATGATTGTGTACGCACCGTCCTAGGATTGATGGAGTGAGCTTTGTGTCAAGAAACTTCAACGGACGGGCGCGTAGGAACAATGACGAAATGAGGATTCGACAAAGAGGAGGTGGCGTTTTACGTCTGTTCCTTCTCGGCAAATCATGGAGGCAGATAATCTGTAATCCCGCTGACATGTTTTCGTAATAGTATCCAAGATCAAAGGTGACGTACCAAAAGGCTTCATAGGAGCCCTTCCTATACCCTGAGATTCCTCAAGACAAACTCAATTTAACTTCTTTCTCATACTCAACCGTTACTCTACTTTGCAGACAGTATGGAGAGGCTCAAGATGGACAGTCTCAATATCAACATCAACGATTGGTTCGAGCGAGATCTTCCCAAGACTCCAGATTGGAAGCTCTTCGCTCTTGCCAGTCTTGCCTTTGTTGCTCTGCGCTTTACTTGCACTGTCATCTACCGTCTCTACATCTCTCCTCTTTCCAAGTTCCCTGGGCCTAAGATCGCTGCTGCTACTCATCTCTATGAGTCATACTATGACTTTTGGAAGAAGGGACAGTACTACAAGGTCATTCAGCGCATGCACGAAGTCTACGGTATGTTGAATTTGTAGTTTTCTTTGGTCAAGCTAATGTGTTAGGTCCAATTGTTCGCGTTACTCCTGATGAACTGTCCATCAATGACCCAGACTTTTACGACACTGTTTATGTCAATGGCAACGTCCGTCGTACCGAGTCCTTCGGCCACTCTTTCGGTGGTGGACTTGGTATCGAAGGTGAGTTCCTACTCCCAACACCCTCAGACCTCCTCTAACTTGATAGATACCTTCTTTGCCTCTCAAGACCATGACCTCCACCGCAAGCGAAGAAAGCCAATTGAGCCTTACTTCTCTCGTAACGGTGTGCTGAAGCTGGAACAGCTCATCAATGAGCGAGTTGAGAAGCTGTTCAATAAGTTTCATGAGCTTTCTGGTACTGGTGTCGTCGCTCGTCTTGACTATGCCTTTGAGGCTTTCACTGGCGACGTTATGCAGCACATTTGCATCGAAAAGCCTGAGTCGCTACTAAACAGTGATGACTTTTCTTCTGAGTGGTATGAAGCATCTGGGAATATTCTTGAGATGTGCTGATCCATTTTCAGGTTCGAGATGCTTCGAAATGTTTCTCTGTCGGTACCGCTTATGGGCATGATCCCATGGCTTGTTCAGTAAGTTGAATCGCTTTCAATCCATACAGTCACTAACCGCCGTTCACAGCATACTCAAGTTCATCCCCGAGCGTCTCATTATTTGGCTCGCCCCAGAAGCCGCCCACTTCCAAAATTTCCGAATCGTAAGTGTTCTTTCATCTCCATTCCTCCAGGCGCTAACCATCTACAGCAAGCTGGTCGTCAAATTGAGCAAGCCAAGCAGGAGAAATTTGACAATGATCGCAAGGGTGTCGCTATCGTCGGTGGCAAGCCCACTCTCTTCCGCTTCCTCGTTCACGAGAGCGGTCTTGCACCTGAAGATCTCAGCACTGAAAGACTCCAGAAGGAAGCGATGGTTCTTCTAGGCGGTGGTACAACCACTACTGCGCGCACGGCTACCATGACTTGCTTCTGGATGCTCAGCATGCCCGAGAAGGGTCAGCGTCTCCGTGATGAGCTTAAAGACATCATGGCTGAGTATCCCAAGAAGAAGCCTTCTTTAACTGAACTTGAGAAACTTCCTTATCTGGGAGCTGTTATCCAGGAGAGCTTGAGGTATGCCCACCCCACAGACAGGGTTACCCCTGCTTAGCGTGCTGACACTTCCTCTTTCAGAATGGCGTATGGATCCATGCGACGTCTTCCTCGCACCTCGCCCGATCAAGCTCTGCAGTTCAAAGAATGGGTGATCCCTCCTGGCGTAAGTGACACATTCAAATGGGGGCGAACCAACAAGTTCAGCCTCACGATTGATAAGCTCACGTGCTAATGCTTTTTCCAACTACAGACTCCCGTTGGCATGAACGCTTATTATCTGCACACTGATCCCAATGCTTTCCCTGAGCCAATGGAGTATAAACCTGAGCGCTGGCTTGGTGAGGTTACACCTGCCATGAAGCGCAGTTTCGTCCCTTTCTCTCGAGGTTCGCGACGCTGCCCCGGCTCCAGGTATGTCTCACCACCATTTTTAGTATGCGAATGAATGCTAATCCGTGCACAGTTTGGCTCTTGCCGATCTTCACTTTGTCCTTGCGGCATTGTTCGGACCAACCGGTCCCAAGTTTGAGCTTTTTGAGTCGGACAGGTCTGACGTGGATGCTATTCACGACTATCTGATGCCGCTTCCTCGGCTGGACTCTAAGGGTGTCCGGGTCACCGTTCGATAGATAGGAAATGACTGAATTTATGCTTCGTGGGAGAAGATTGAGATTCAAGAGAAGAATGATGCCCCCAAGGTAGTGGCTGAGCAATGGGAACTCCAGGGTTGGATATTTTCTGTAGTCTCTCATTTGGGTAGAAATATTACGTTCTTTAGAAATAACACATTTGACCCAAGTTATCCATAAGAATTTACACGACAAGCCTCGAGATGAATTCAAACATTATGCCCGGTACACCTCATCAAAAAAAGCTAACATCAAATATTTGGATTACAGGAATGCGGCGGAACCGGCAAGTCAATAACGCCTGTAAAGTTGATCTGTTTAGTGAGAACTAAATAGGTGATAGTCATATGCCCTGTATTCAAATTACAATGCTGAGGACATTGTCATCGCTGCAATCATTTTGAAGTTCCTCGACCATATCATTTGACTCCTCCAAAGAATGGACCAAAATAGTCAAACATCCCAATAACTGTAACGAGAATGATTAAGCTCTCAGCCTGAAGTATCTTAGTATTACTTGGCATAACTTCATATTCACGATACGTCATTTCCTATTGGGAACAGTTTGAATTCAATATCTGATTTAAACGAATGACTACATCCAATGTCCTTCCTCTCCTCAAGGTGCAAAATCTCTCGGCTTCAAAGTCAAGATAAGCGGCTTCTTATCCCAAGCAAGGTAGCACTTCTGAGAAGAATGCCAATCCTCCTGGTTGGGACCCAACTCATAGTCAAACCGATACAAGATTCGACTGACGACAACACGAATCTCGGCATGAGCAAGATTCTTACCAAGGCAGTCCCTCATACCGAATCCAAAAGGCCGGAACACTGAGCGGTTGTCATTGGCGTACTTGGGGTTGTGCAGCGGGTGAGACGGCTGGAGCCATCGCTCAGGGATGTAATCATCTGGGTCAGCAAAGTTATCAGGGTTATGGAATGTACCCCACTGGTAGATGGACACGATGACCTGTGATTGTCAGTAAGAATGTCATGGTTTGGGTAGGTGGAAGGCCTCACTCCTTTGGGAAGGTATTTGCCTTCAATCTCGGCGCCAGGACTGATTCTTGGTGGCGATTCGGCAGCAGGTGGATAAACTCTCAATGCCTCATCAACAGTGGCGTTGAGGTACTCGAGCTGTTTGGTGGTCTTCATGTTGATCTCGCTCTCACTCTTGAAAGAGGAACGGACCTCCTCCACCAATCGTTGGTAGGCTTGGGGAGAAGTACCAAGGTAGAAGAAGAATCCTGATAGTGCAGTAGTGGTGGTCTCACTAGAGGCACCAATCAAGACAGGACAATCGACGAGGATCTCTGGATCAGTGAGACCGCCACCATCACGGTTACGCCGCATCAAGAAGCTCATGAAGTCTCGACGACCAGGGGTGGGTTGCTCTCCAAGCTTCATACGCTGCATGGCGTGATGGAACGTCATGTTCCGCTGGTCCGTCTCCCGCTTGATCTGCTCCTTTCCGGTGAAGAAGAAGTTCATGAGAGGCTCGATGACAGGGTAGTGCTTGACAAAGCGGTTCATGGCATTACCCTTGACGGCCCAGAAGAAGTTGGACACCCAAGGGTGGTACTCCTGCTTATCCAGACAATCAAAAGGCTGAGAGAAGACCAGCTCCCCTGCAATGTCAAAGAGGAGAAAGTTGATCCAATCAACGATGTTGATGGGGTCGCCCACCTTGGCTCGTTCACTCAGACGCTGGAGAAGCATATCCGTGTAGGGCTGGATAACGATTTCTTGTTCAACAAGGGCTTGGTCGTTGAAAGCAGACCAAAACTGTCGACGATGACGACGATGATTTGTTTGGTTGGCGCCAAGGATACTGAGACCATCACCAGGGAAGATGTACTCAGGATACTTGGGAAACTCGTCATCTTTGCCTCTCATGGCGTAGACCTGGAACCAGCCAATACTGCCATCAACGGCAAGGCGGTTAGGTCCAATGCGCACGATGGGACCGTACTTGCGGTGCAAGGGCGAGACTCTCCAGATCCAGGTTCCTGAGATGTTGCTCATCCAGCGTTCGGGGATGTTGGTAACTGCGAGCCATCTGGGACCGGGGAAAATGGAGAGTGGATGGAACCAGACGCGGTAGATAGCGATGGCTGCCAAAGAGGTGACCAGCTTTGGTACTGTCAGTCACTTCAGACTTGGTAACAAAGATCGAACTTACAGTGGCCAAGCTGATGATGGCAAGGGCCACGAGCTTGTCATGGTCGAGCTTCAAAGCGAAACTCGAAAGTTCCATGTTGCGATAGGAGATTGTCATCGTTGTCGACTGTGATGTTCTGAGCAAGTGCCACTGTTCCCTCTCTTTTCGTCTGTATTTATGTCCGTTTGATCCCGAGCAAAAGAGAAAACATCATCTTACTGGCAGTGAATTTCGTAATCCGACAGGTTTTTTTGTCCCTCTTCCCTGATGTCAAGTCTTGGTGCTTATTCTTTACTTACGCAAGGGCCAAATCCTTTGCAAATCTGACAGGGTGGTTGTGCAGCTTACATACACCCCCTGTAGTAGGATCTGAACCCTGGTATTCGGGCCGCAGGATCTAGACAGGGGTTGAGTCAGGGCGGAGAAGACATCCGGCTGGCAAACCGGAAGGGTAGGGTGTATGAATCAGTCAGCCACAAATATCTTAACCCTCCGAGAGTTGGCGATCTGATCTCAGGAGAACGTAGGTTGAAAGGAAGCGGGGAAGGGGGGCAGTCAGATCCTACGCAGGGATCCATCGTTCGATATTCGCGTTATTTCTCCAAGTTCCATTCTAGGCTTGATGGAAGAGGAGTATCGTAGCGTTGCTTCCGCTGTGCCTCACACACTGATAGCTCGGCATCGAAACATACGCGGATCCTTCCAGAAATCTCCCCGAGGTACGTCATCAGCAGAGCAATTTCTCGATCAGATAACGAATCCCGCTTACTGCAGATCCCGTAAGTGAGACTAAATTGTCGTTATAGTGACATGGGCCGCTAAGTGGGTAGTCTTCCTATCTGTCTCTTGTGTCTGTCGTGGGGTGGCTTTGATGCAGTTCTGGGGTAAGCAGTAAAAGCATGATATGACAGTAAGAATCAGCCCCATCTTGGCCAGCCGGATAGATACGGTATGTTCCGCTACAGGGTCGGAAGCTGGGCAATATGATTGACTAGAATACGACTGGAATAGGAATCATGTTTCGAATCAAGTGCTCGGGACATCGGCCACTGTAAGCATAAGATACAAAATAATTGGTCATTTTAGGCCAGGTAGTTTATACTGACACATAGGCTACGTGTCTACTTTGGCGGCCTGATTCATAGTGTAATCCTTCATTTTCATACCAAAGTTGGGAATATTATCTCCATTACTACAATTCTATGTTCGCGATGGTATAGTGACTGTGACGATATGTCAAAAACCGTTCTTTTTCCAGACTGGTCAAGCTCGCAGTAGATTGTGAGAGCTTCTTATGCTAAACTGACACATCCTAATGTCAGGACTAAGAATCAACCAAAGTTAACATCCACTTCAATTTTTTTGAAATACAGTCAAGTAGTTTGTTCTCATGGATAGCTCTAACTCATAATGGCCAATGGAAGCGGATGTCTATAGGAACGCGTGGGAGTCATAGTAAATCAAATAAGACCAATATCGTTGAAATGTGTGCTAAAGGTGTTCTATGGACAAAGCTAAACAACCCGGTTGACCTTCAAGAACCTTCCAATAGCGTTGATCAAAGATGCAAAGAGTTCTACAAACCACATAACAATGCTGCTTGTTCCAACCATGGTCATCGGGACAACCGTCATGAAGAATGCACCGAAAGCACCCTCGCGACGGGTGATAGTCTCCCAAAGCTCACCACCGAGAACATCAACAGCACCATCCCACTGGTACGGTCCAACAACACGGAACTTGGTGTTGAACTGAGCTCCCGTCAACCACAAAACAGGAAGACGCCACCAGAGACCAGGGTGCTTAGCACCAGCGTTCCACCCAGCGCGAACACCGTCCCAGAAGCTAGGAACAGCATCCATGTCGAGAGCCAGCTGGTAAGCGTAAGATTCGTGATGAACACCGTAGTCAATACGCTTGTGGCCGCGAAGCTTGAAGTGGTAGTCTTCTCTCGAACTAAGCGACTTGGCCATCTCAGGGTTGATGAGAGTCATGAGCCAAAGCTGGGCTTGAAGCTCGGCAAGGGGAGGAATAGCGCCATAGCCAGGACGAACAAAGCCGATGAAGCCAACGGTGGGATCGTTGCGACGCCAGATGCAGCGAACATCCGCGTCTGCGCATGTTGGATAGTTCTCACCGTTCTTGTTAGCCTCTTCAAAGAAGGCAAATTCCTGACGGTAACCAGTTGCATAGACCACCATATCGGGCTTCACGGGGCCCAACGTTTTCATACGCTCTGCCTCAGGACGGCCATTTTCCTTGAAGTGCATGATGCCCTTGTCATCAATGTGGCTGGGCCAAGGGGCAAGGTCGATGTATTTACCACCTGGAACCTCCTTTACAGGGACTGTGACGAGGGCGCGGCGGATGCGCTCTACAATACCAGGGTTTGTGGGGCGGTAAGGCTCGCTGATGTAGTGAAGACACCTCCAGACAGCCTTGTTGAAGAAGCCTGTGAACTGTTAGTAACTTCACAGTGTAGTTGTTAAATATCAAGATGACTTACTTTGAGATGTGTGGAAACGCTCTTTGTCAAGACCTCCAACCCACTGATCAACACCATCAGTGGTACCAGAGCAAAGCCAGTTGGCAACCTTGATATTGAAATCTTGGAATCTCCAAGTGAAGAGACGATCTCTCAAGAATGGTGGCAAGTAAGAATCAAGCAGAGGAGCTTGCCAGCTGACATCAATGGGCAGTTCCTGAGCATTGGGGTTGGGTTTGTTTCCCAGACAAGGGAACAAAATAGGGTTGGGGATTTTCTACAAATCCAGTCAGTTTTGACTCTCAATATGGCCTGAGATTGCGTTACCTTGGGAGCTCCAAGAAATCCTTGTCTGTGACAGAGAACGACGCGCTTGGTTGGTGAAGTAACAGCAAGATGAGCAATATCCATGCCAGTCTCACCAGTACCCAGAACCACAACCTGGCTACCATGAGGAAACTCTTCTCTCTTCTTGAACTGAGAAGAGTGCTTGACAATCTTGACCTTGTCAATACCTGGAACATCAGGAATGTTAGGCGTAACGTGAAGACCGGTGCAGACAGCGACAGCATCGCATTCCCAGGTCATGTCAACGCCATCAGGACCACGGTAGTGAATGACATGACCACCAGCCTGACCTCTTCTGATTGAAGTCACAGGAGTTGAAAGAGAAATTTCAGGCCAAAGGTTGAAGTGATCTGCGTACTCTTTCAAGTACCGGATGAACCTTTCTGCACTGAGAAAGTCTGGGTCTTCAAGGTCTGCGCGCCAGTCGGAGAAGCAGGTCAGATACTTGGAGGAGACAAGCTAATTGACTATCAGTATAGGTATCCTCCAGATGCCTGTTGACTTACCTCTGCATCCTCGTAAGTACGCTTCGTAAAAGTACCACCGACCGCATCTTCACGCTCAAAGAGTCGAGCTTCGATGGGGTCAATGTCAAAGAACTTGGTAGCTTCTTTGAGGTACTTCAGCGTAGTAAGGCCACCAGGGCCAGCACCAACGACAGCGACACGCATATTGGAAAAGATAGACAATAGATCAGAAAAAGATTGAGAATGAGAATGAGGTTGGCTCGTGATGAGTCAAAGGGGAGAAACTTGACAGATAATAGCTACATATCGCAACATATACGCGGGCGGCATCTATGACCTACTCTGCAATACCAAGCTTTACTGTGGCAAGGAAAGTTGCCAAATCCATGCAAGACGAAGGTGTTATCGAATCCTTCAGTTCAACGGACCTGTTTACTAGAGAAACTCCCCTCGGGGGTGGGTACGTAAGATTCCCCACGACATCCTTGTCAGTTGCCTCACGAATATCACACACCTCGAAAATAACGGCAGAACAAGAATGAGACAACTTTCGTAATCCTTCGGAGATGTTGATGATGAAGGTAGTAAGCGGGATCCACCTCCAGCCTTGGTGATTGTAAGAGTGCTTATTTGGGCAATTCGAGTTCAGATTCTTGGGAGTACCTGGTATAAATGGTGAGACGGCAAAGTACCACATACCCAGCTCCAGATATTCGTAACACCTTTGAACCCGTCTCTCATCTTCATTTCCTCGTCATGTCTCAAACAGGCCCTCAGATCATCTTTGGCACAGCATCCATTGGATACGGCTCTCTTACCGAAGAAGATGCTGTCAAGCAATTCCTTCAGGTAGCTTCTGACAATGGTGTTAAGCAACTTGATACCGCTGCGAGCTATCCTACCGAGGAAGCTACTGGCCAGACTGAGGTTCTCCTCGGAAAGGTCAAGTCCGGCGATGAAGAATGGGTGATTGACACTCGAGTCGCCATCAGCCGTAACCTCCAAGGCGCTTTGGCACCTGAGGCTATTGAGAAGAGCTTGAACACCAGCCTGGAGAAGCTTCATCAGAATTCTGTGAATGTTCTCTCTGCTCATATGCCTGATCCTGCTACTTCCCTGGAAGACCAGGCGAGAGGCTTTGATGAACAGTTCCGCCAGGGCAAGTTCAAGAAGGTGAGACATATGATAAATGAGTGTTACTTCTGACTAACCTTACATTAGCTTGGACTTTGCAACTGGCCTCTCAGCATGATTGAGAAGTACATCGAAATCTGTGATGCCAAAGGCTACGTTAAACCCTCAGTCGCCCAATACATGTACAACTACATCTGGCGCGGCACAGAGTCAACTATTCTCCCCTTCCTCCGCAAGCACAACATGTCTCTCCACGCCTACAGTCCCCTCGCAGGTGGTTTCCTTACCGGAAAGCCCACAAGCGGCGACACAGCAGGCACACGCTACGGCGAGCCTACTCATCCTTTGACCATCTACAAGTTCATCTACGATAAGGAGCCCTTTCACCAGGCTGTCAAGGACCTGTACAGTCTGATCAAGGATGGTGAGGTTGAAAGCACCTCTGATGTTGCGATTCGATGGCTGTACTACCATTCTAAGCTTGAGTCTCAGGATGCAATTATTCTCGGTGGATCCAAGACTGAGCACTTTGACAAGAATGTTGCTGCTGTCAAGAAGGGACCTTTGCCTGAGGCTGTGCTGAAAGCTCTCGAGGGGCTGGGGGTTAGTGATGCTGGCATGGGTGATGGAAATGTGTTTGGCTCGGTTTTTGAACAGTAGAGGATACTCTAATCTATCTAGACTAGCGTCAGGATAGACTATTTGGATTGAATGAATGGCAAAACTTTCAAACCAGAATAACACGGCGACATGTAGCAGAAAGATTAGACACTAAAAGCATAAGAGACGAAATAACTTGGCCACTTCATGCATTTTTAGGCAGATGTTTAGGCCATTCTATTTTGGTGACCTAAGCCTTAGTTAGTAACTCCAATAGATTGTCATGGTCGAGACACCTACCAACAGTGCTATGGGAATAGTCCAATTTAGATTTTGAAATCGGATAACAATCGAGCCCCGTGCAGGGCCACACCAGGTGAACGTTGGGCGTGATATGGCTCTTGCAATAGCTAACCACAGCTGTAGCGACCGTCGAAAATATATATGAAATTCATAGTTGATAATAAAGAAACAGAGGCAAACGTTTGATTAATCGGTTTGTTCATCAAGTTCTATTAAGTACGCATTACGGGCATCTTTATCACCAGATGTGTCAAGCAAACCCCGAGTAGTTCATCAAGTTCAGAACAATCCATTCCCACTGTTCTCACCACCATGACAAACGCACCAGCCAGTATCATAGCATTCAGTCCTGCAACGTCTCTGAGGAGGCATCACCTCATTGTCTCGCCGTACAAGAAGTTTAACAAAATCTTGCATATGGAACCTCCGTACCAGGTGATCAAGGCTTCTCGATTTCCATATTTCCCATTGGAGGTACTCATCTACTTGTCCCCAGTGGAGGCAGGGAGACTTGATAAACGCAGATGCACTTGCTGATGTCCCGTCGCCGATATGGTCAAAGACATCCTTCCACTTGACCTCGACATACTCGCCTTCGCAATCGTGGTAGATTGTGTCGTAATTCTGATTAGAGCATCTAATCCACTTGGCGCTTTTGTCGATGATCCAGAGGTCAGGTTGATTATTACCTAAAGCATTGTATAGTCGTCGTGCCCAACACCCTCGAGAAGAGTCTCTTTCTCTCTTGAGCGTGTTGAATTCTTTTGGTAAGTTCTGCATCCACGTCTGATCGAACTCGAACGCGACTTTCCCTATCGGCATAGCTTTCAACCACTCAAACGTGAAATTACCATGTTTATGGCTGCTTCTAAATTCCAATGACCTGCCCCGTGTAAAAGACATGCACAGTTGATATTTGCGTAATTCTTTGCACGTCGACTTCCAATCTTTTGCTTTGATGCAAAAGATGTCTCGCTGGGGATAGGCAAGCATATGCCACCGTTGGCCAACTGTTTCAAGGTCGATGGTTGCGGGAATTGGGACGTTTTCCAAGTGAGATAGATCTTCGTGATGGCAATACCAGCGGAAAGGTTCTTTTTCACCGATAGCTTCGTGCTGCACCTCCATCCAAAAGTCGTAATAGGTATGTTTGACAATAACCTCTCTGGAATCCTTGCAGGCCGTCCAAAGGCCTCCATCAATAAGGTACGCAGAATTGTTGGTTTTGTATAGGGGCTGTTCTGTGGAGGCTATAGGCCAGTTGCATTGCAGTGGAATAACACCTTTGCGGGAGAAGTCGATGTACTGGATACCATGCTCATTCGGGCTGATAGTGCGACATGCCTCTTTCCAAATTTCCAATCGAAGTTCGGTAGGTAGTTGTGGGAAGCGATAGAACATTTTTGAAGTCATTTAGACGAGCGTGTACAGGTGGTTACTGCGTGACAAAAGAGTTGGCGTCAAAGGCTGATGAGCAAAACAGGGGTGGATATCTGCTTCTTATATCATTTTGTTCAAAAATTTCATACACAAGGTTTCGCCCCAGCCTCGACTTCAACAGCTACTTTCTTGGCTTATCACTGAAGGTTTTACGGTCACTTTGGAGACCACTCGTCGGGAAGGCTTGAAATTCGATGGTGTATGTCAAAGAGTTTAATCCATGTCAAGGATTATTGGCACATGGATCGTTGAACGAGTCTTTGACTATGTGGCAATGGAAACCATGCAGTGGCAGCAGGCAGCCAAAGGTTGAAAAGTAGAAACCTCAGGCGCAGAGCACTAACGTATATTGAAGATAAACCTTTTCAACAATTTAGGATTTCTTCGGAGCATCATGACTCCAGTGCATACACAAGACCATTTTACTTGCTTGCACTGCCCGACAAATGATCCAAAGTAACTCTTAGCAGAGAAATCCATAAAACGAGAAACTCAAGATCGTCGCGTGGTGTTGGTACATCGTAAAACCCCTACCCTGAACACGCTAAAAGGCACCTTCGGTTTTATGTAACCAAGAACTCAGGGATACGGTTATTAGAACATATGAACATGTTCGCATAATTCGAGAAACATGCAAGCATAGTACATTTCGATTAAATCACGAATTTATTGTTACACCTTGGTGTAGTTTATAGTAACGGCATTCATCACGTAAATCACTCCGGTCGGGTAAAGAGCGACAATTGTGACAGCAGTTGCTTTTTATAAAACAAGATGAATTACTCCGTCTTGTCATGGCGCCATCAGTCCGCTATCGTTCTGCCGTTGTCCACATGTCATTTATCATATGCGCGTATCGACCGCGTTTTGAGGAAACATCCAACCTCATTAGATGAAATACGCGTAGCGAAAAGGAAAACGGTCAACCTTCCCCGTTCCGATCCAAAAAGCAATTTTAAGACCTATAGCTGAATCATTATAGTGCAGGGGAATTTAGGAGAGTTTTTGTTCTCGCCAAGCTTAACCTCCGAATGGTCCGGGTGGATCTCGCGTCCGACATCACGATAACAGACCTTGGAGTCGCGATAAGTTGTTGAAAGCATGGGATTCTACCTTGGTTACCGAGATTTAATCGAATCATTTGAAATAACATTTGGTAATATTCTCTATGCTATAAGCATGGAATTCTAAGAAACGAAGCGCTTAAAGGCATTTCTTGCCTAGACTCGCTTAACAATTATGGCCCGCGTTTGAAACACGGAAACCTCCAAATACAGCAATTCTCCTTGTTTCAAAACTTAATCGCAGAGTCTAGTGTTTCCAAACTTCCCCAACACCCAATTAGCGCTCCTTTCCATGTTACAGATCCATCCTGTGGTTAATTCTTCCGCTAATGATAAGACAGCGGTTCGTATGCTGGCCAATTCAGCTCGAAACAATGACGGAGATTGCATATTGAAGAAAGGGACCATGTTTTTTACTCGTATCGATACGAGACTTGGCATTTGGAGGAGTAGTACATATTAAAACACCATGGTTTCTTCGTGATCTTTGCAGTTTGCTCTTCAGTCCTCACTCTTCAGACAACAACATTCGTTTCTTTATTTCTCTATTCTTTTCATTCGTTGACATTGACTGTCATTACATTTAACTACACTTTTACACTTTTAACCAACTTGTCTGTTCATCAACATGTCTTCTTCCATTCTTTTCGCAGCTGGCCTCCTAGTGGGTGCCGCCCAGGCTTACACTCAAGTCAACGCCGCTTCTCCTTTCATGCTCAAGAACATCGATCCTATCGTGTTCCCCGGCGAGCACGGCAAGTCTCACTTGCACTCTTTCTTCGGCTCCGATGCCGTCACCGTCAACACCAAGACCAGCGCCGAGCTCCAAAAGGGTTGCACCAACGCCGAGAACCCTAACGATTTGTCCGTCTACTGGATTCCTACTCCTCTGTACACCGCCGATGGAACCAACTACGAGCCTATTCCCGTCATGCGCTTCAGCGCTTACTACAACCTTGGCGAGACACCTGCTGAGGTCGCTATCCCTCAGAACTTGAAGATGGTCGCTGGTAACGCTGAGGCCAAGACCCAGGCTGATATGCCTCCTGAGGCCAAGGCCGAGTGGACTTGCGAGAGCCAGCCTCTTCCTATCGGAGCCAACGGTTTCCCCACTGGTACCTGCGACACCCACCTCCAGCAACTCCTCTACTTCCCCCAGTGTGTCAACGAACAAACCCTCGAGACCGGCTACAAGTCCCGCGACCACGGCACTCCCAACTGGTGTCCCGAGGGCATGAAGTCCATGCCCCAGCTGCGATTCAGCATCCGCTACGACCTCCGCAAGGTCCTTCCCAACGGCTGGCAAGGCGAGGCACCCTTCAAGCTCGCCTGTGGAGATGCTTGGTGCTCTCACGGTGATTTCATCAACGGCTGGACTGAGGAGTCTGCTCAGAACATGATTGCTACTACTGCTGAGAAGCAGCACTTTGCTGCTGTCACTGGTGCTCTTGGTGCCCCCGATGCCGGTGTTCAGTGCCAGCCTCGGGATGCTGACCCTGCCAACGGTACTAGCGACTACAACGAGAGCGTTGCTGCTATGAGCAAGCGGGATGTTACTGCTTGGGGATGGAAGAGCAAGTCTCGCCTTGCCCGCTCTGCTTAAAGAGCTTGGATCGAGGGAGATCTGAAGATTATCTAGAAACATATTGATGGGTCCAATCCGAGATTAATTCCCCATACTGTTTGAGCTTGCCCACACGTGACTTGTTCGTTGTTTCTTGTCGATTGATGATGTCTTGCCTCACATTTTTCTCCTACTCTCCAGGGTATGAGTTATCGAGGCCCACTAAACGCAATCCAGCTAGCAACTCAGGTAAGTAGCAGAGGAATTGTCCTTTGAAGTCTTATGCCACTAGAAAGAAATATTACAGTTCAATATGACGTGAAACAACGAACGTATTTCGTCTCTTATGCCCTAGCGACCAATTCTTCCGGTACCCTTGTTCCTTAGCTGGACGCCACAAACCGCTGGACTGCGATGTGGCTGGGATTCCAGACCTGTGGCGCATGCACGGCAGCTGCAGCCTGCAGGACCCCCAATGTCTCACTCACCCAAACGACATCACATTTTACGCTTCGCCATCAGCGCAGGTCTCTTTGCGAAAAGTCAGGATTTCCTTGCTAAATGGTGGGTCAGTCACGATAAAAGGCCCAATGTTTTAAGATTAAGGTAAGCTAAAAGCTTACAACCCACCTTTTCCTTAACAGGCAGATTATATTTCCGGGTCTATCTCCCTAACTGAAACGAGAGGTGAAACTTGGCAAGCTCGAACGCTTTGAGATTTTCTGATGATATATACGTAATGATCAGCCTCGTTTCTGAACAAAAGAAGAGAGAAGCGAAGTGGAATGGAACGGAATGGCAATGGCGATATGTCGAGTGGCACGCGAGATTACAATTGCAAAGGATCCTGTCAGACTTCGGATATTCCCCATTTAGGATGACAGGTTACCATTTTGGAGCAGCTGCTTACCTGTCATACGATCACTTACTACACTTGTTACGAGAACTTTTGATCTTTTGACAATTCATTGCAACGTTGCCATGATCTGTTGCTGTGTTTTATCTGAAGCTTCTTTCTGTTTGATGAAAGGCCGAGTCTCTGTCCCCATGTTTCGTCCCCTGGAACACGCACAAGCGAATTGTTGGCAAAAGCTTGAATTTTTATTATGGATCATATTCGATTGGGGTTGTGTCTCCTGATGATCTGCATCTCCATTCCATGTTGGTCGCGTCGTCATCATTCTTTGTCTCCACAAGAGAGTGGCTTTATTCACATCGAGTCTCAACGGCCACTAATTTCTGACCATCATATATCTATCTATTGTCTTCAAGCCACGAACAAAACAACCAGACTTCAATAATCTATTAAACTCAAAATTTAGTTAGTTCTGATCATCAATCGTAGGGCTGGCTAGTTCGGGCCATCGGTTCTGTAACGCCGGCAGGTCGAGTACCGGTTACAAGGATCATCTTCCCTGCCAAGTCCCATAAGCCGCGTAACACTTACAGCGCCGTGACCAACATCCAACCATCAGAAGCATTGCCCACTAGAATACCAGTTCAGAGATCCTTCAACCGCTGTGGTGGACTCGAGAACAAAGGGACCCTGTTCCTGCTTATTTCAGGGGATGGAACCATAAAACTGATGATCCCGCACATCAGGGGACCCTTTCCTGTGACTGTAATTCTCGTCGTTCTTTTTTGTTTTTCTTTCGCTATGGCTGTCGCGGCCACTCTATCGTCACGTCCTGCGCTGAGGATAGGAACTGTTATCGCCGTCGGTATTTTCTTTGTTGTCGTTCTTTCTACCTTCTTCTTTGACTCTGCGAGATCACCTGTTCGGTTTGCGCACGACAAGGCTCAACAGTACTGTGGCTCGTCGCAAATAACGTAAGAATCCCTCCTCTTTACTGTAGATCATCACTGATAGACTTTATAGTGTTACTTCTTTTGTATCATCACCTACTACTCCTACTCCTGCTCCTACACCGGAGGCTACTGGTAACTGCCAAGATCCCTACCGACGACCGGGATACCTTTACATTCCTACCGACAAGAAGGCTTATAGGGATACACAATGGATCCCATTCACTGAAGACCTCCTCAACTCTGAGCCGCCAGAGTATGCTGCTTACCCACCTAAGCACGAGCTTGTCTTCAACGACACCGCCGTCGAACCCGAATTCCTTAATGCCGGCAGCAACCCCCAGCAGTGGATGCGCATGGCTGTCGTTGAAAGCCGTCGTCGATACAAAGAAGCCAACGTCCCAGCACGTAACGCCACAGTGGATCAGTTTGTCAACATGAAGGAGGACAACGGTCTCGGCTGGCTCTGGGGCCGTCGCGTAGTCATGTTCGGTGACTCGGTCGATCGCTACAACACACAGTTCTTCTGCGAAGAGTTCGGTGGGGAGATCAATCTCCCAATCCAGGACGAAACAGCTCGTCAAGCTAAGGGACTCTGCGAGGTACCCGCCTTCAATTTTACCCTCATCTACTACCACTCCGCCGGATCATTCACATATCGTCCTGACTGGTGGTGGATTGAGAAGATGAAAGACGTCGCCTGGGAAGAACGCTGGGATAAGTTCTGGAAACCCCACGAGACACCCATCAACGGCCCTAGAGGTCACCCCGATTTGATTCTCTGGCAGAATGGACTCTGGGACCAGAAGGCGTTCTGGCTGAGCGGTAAAGCGATGGAGAAGGAAGCTGGGACGCACATGACCAAGAGTCACAGGAAGATGGCTTGGGAGGAAATCCGATTCGTCACTGCACGTATCAAGATGATCGCGCAACGTCTGAACAACGAGTTTGGAAAAGACATACCAATCATGTTCCGGTCTTTGACGGTGCATAAGGAGAGTGGCATGCAAGATGCCGTAATGATGGAGATGGACCGTCTAGGAAGAGCGGTCGCCGAGAAAGCAGGCCATGAGATGTTTGAGTGGTCCAAGCTGATCCACCTCCTTGGAGATTTGTATCAGGATGGTTTACATCCTGGCAAGGGCCCGGCGAGTTGGCTTTGGGGCAATATGATGTTGGAGTCTCTTGTGAGATCTGCTGGCGCCAAGGTTGGAGGAGATGCAAGGGCGCCATACTTTGATGGGTGGGAGGCATGCCATAAAGAATTATCTGGGTGGGGAGGACGATGATGAATTATTGTATAGAAAGTTATAGAGGCAAAACGCCATAATTTCATAAATCTGTTAAATCATTCGATCCAACTGCAACAAGTCTAATTTTGGAAACTGCCTACAAAGGATATCTGATTTCGGAAGCCCCGAGGTGAAATTTGTGATGTTCGTGATCCAGCACGCGTTTGTTGAGACGCGAGGCTCTCGAACGCAGGTTGTGTTCTTTTGTCCCAGATTTAACATCTCTTTGTTTTGAGGAACACGTCCCGAGTATGTTTTTCATTGTTGTTCGCCGAACATTGCGAGGGACCGTCCCTCCGGACCTTTTAAGTGTCTTGTTGTTCCAGTATGGGTTCGAGTACAAATGTACCCAAGATTCCCTCGATGTCTTGTCCTGAATAAACAGTTTCAAATCGCTTATCAAATCGCTTATTAACAATCACCAGGTTAACAAACCGATACACCAACAAACCAAATCTTTCAACAACAATCTTACAAAGTAACACCACCAAAATGTCAAACTCTCACCAAGACGACATCTCTCATCAGGTCTCGAACACCGTGATCATCCCTATGAGGCCCCAACAAAAAGGCACCCTTGCTCTCCTCCCTACCGAGATCCTTTATCAAATCGCAATTCAAACCAAGCCACTTGATCAGGGACCGATCGAGTCTCGCTCCCCACGTATATTCACCAAGGAGGAAACCACAGAGAGGCACACTGCAGAGTCCAGCATTCTCTCAGCCACCGACATGAAGAACCTCGGCCTAGCTTCTTCCAACCTGTTTTATCACATCGCTCCCTTGTACTATCGCGCAGATAACTTCCAGGTCTTCCGCTCCGCTCTCAAGCATGCCGATATCGATGCTATGAAGAGGTGCGCCGAGTTTGGTTCTGCACCTGATGTGCATTGGGATCTGGAGGTTCCATGTGGCCAAAGCCATGTTACTCACAGGCCAATCGATGTTCTTTTAGAGTCTGCTCTACGTGACTTGGACGCCATTGAAAAGTATGTCCAAGCTTTAGAATGGTTGGTGGACCATGGCTACGATGTTTACGAGCAGAAGCTACATCAAAATGACGTGATATGGGCACGAGAGTCTGGCAGACAGGACTCGATTCGAAGGCTGGATCCTTTGTTGAAGTCAAAACGCATGCCGGAAATTCTCGTCCGCTCCCTACATCGGACTAATGATAGGAATGAAACAGAAGGCATCTGTCAAATGATCCGTATGCTCCTCGCCCATGGCTGTCTGTTGCCTTACAACATGGGTGAACAGAAGCCATTAGACATAGCTATGCGGTCTTACTCTCCTCCCCACTTTCTTGAACTTTTGCTCGAGCAATACAAACAACATAACGCTAGTGTCAAAGATTGGAGAGAAAGCTGCCCCGAGTCGATGACTACATGGGTTTCCCATGAGCGTTATATGGACGCCGATTGGTTTACAGAACGTAGACTCCAACGATGGGCGCAAAAGTCCTGCTTGGGGGACTTGGCTGGCAATCTTTTCTACGATCTCATGCTCATGCGTCAGGATTGTAAGGAACAGTACTACGGGGATGTATCCGATGTATTTGAGGAAAAGGTCAAGTTGCTGATCAAGTACGAGTTCGTGGACGAGACTGAGCAGAGGGCTTTGGTTGGTGTCGTTGAAGCTCTACAAGATATCACTCTTATGACAGATCGATCGGGAGACCTCGACATTGATCTTGACGGAAAGAAATGCTGGACTCGTCTTTTCGGTGCTCTCCGTCTCTCCGCAGCAGATGCAAACATCGCAAGCGGACGAGGAACGCTAGAAGGGTCTCAGCGAATCCACCGCTTTACCTTCGACGAGACACGAAACCCCTGGTCGTCATACTACAAGATGGCCTTGAAAAATGTGAATGACTGCAACGAGCTCTCCCACCCATGGCTGAAGGAACAGGGTTTACGCGAGCAGCTTGGCCGGTTTGAGGATCCAGCCTGGGGTGGACTAGTTTCTGAAAGCTCATTTGAATGGCACGAACTTGACTACGATGGATATGTTAGCAGGATTGGACAGTCGTGGATGGAGAAGGAAGAGCAGAAGAAAAAGGAAGCTGCTGCGGAGGGCGATAGAGAGGAAGATTTGCTCGAGGATCAGGATGACGGAGTTGTTGAGTGATGGAGCCTACGAGGGTGAGATGTTATTTATTTTTAGAGTCATGAGCTTTAGATGCTGGTCATTATAAGGCAATGAGAGTATGTGTATACTTATGTCTGGGCAAATTGTGTGTGCATGCAACCGGGTATTAGAAGAATTGGCCGTTGAGAGAACAGGAGACAAAATGGCTTAGTCACCTTTGACCGGCTTAGACCGGCGTTTTAGGCGACTTTATTTTAGTAGCCGCGTTGGAGAGCATTTCTTCTGCTAGCTACCTACCTGGCATGTGATGAGTTCAATTTGTCTTGTCGTTTGACTAGTTGTCTGCAGTGAATCCTTGGGCCACATAATGATATTGAGGCATGATTGCAGTTTTTATCTGATTAATTCAAGTCATAACTGGCCTTACTCGGACGCCAAGGGCCGAGGATTACCTGAGGTCAGAGACACCAACCAATTGGAAGCACTCCAATAGCCTTATCAACCACACTAGAACCTTGCTTCCTTTTCTAGAAATCACGAGTTTCTTTCATTAATTGCTAGGATATAGATTATTGTGAGTTCTCAAAAGACGTCCAATCAGAAGTGACGGCCTGTGTTGAAAGGGTTGAGATTCGAGACCACCTTCTTTAAACAGTAGCCTCGGGTTCTCTAGCCGCATTCTGTATCGGGCAGTTTTCCGCCGTCTCGCAACCCAAATGATCAACCACCTACAGAATAAGTCAATTGATTGCGATAGAGGAGGTAAGCTGATAGTTATTAAAAGCATAATAATACGACCATAACACTACTTTCCCCAGATTCACACACAACCCCAGGATATTCTCTTCCCAAACCTCTCAAATTACTACCATCATGCGATCAAAACGAGTCATCTCCATCGTCACTTGCCACGCGGAGGGCGAGGTTGGCGATGTCGTTATCGGCGGCGTAATCGACGTGCCAGCCAAGACAATGCACGATAAGCTCGTCCACTACATGGCCGAGAAAGATGATCTACGAAAGCTTCTCCTTCAAGAACCTCGTGGTCGCCTAGAGATGAGTGTTAACTTGGTCACTCCGCCTTGCCGGCCCGATGCCGATGCTGGATTCCTTATCATGGCCCCTGGTGACTGGGTTCCTATGTCTGGCTCCAACTGCGTCTGCACAACTACCGTCCTTCTCGAGACGGGTATTGTCCCCATGATTGAGCCGGTTACAACAGTCAGACTCGATACTGCTGCTGGATTGGTTGTTGCTACGGCGGAGTGTGACAACGGAAAGTGTAAATCCGTTTCTTTCGATAATGTCCCAGCTTTCGTCTACGCTCTGGACAAGGAAATTGACGTCCCCGGCATTGGAGTTATTTCTGTGGATATCGCCTATGGAGGTCAATGGTACGTGCTCGTCAAATCAGAAGCACTAGGAATCAGAGTCGAAACCATCAATGCCGACAGTCTTGTCGACATTGGGAAGAGGATAAAAGCAGCCGTCCTCGCCAACTGCATGCCCACACATCCTGAGAATCCCGCCATCTGCGGTATCAACAATACCATTATCACAGAGCCTTTAGAAGACGGTCCTAATGGCAAGACCGTCAAGCACACTGTCGTCGTTACACCCGGTCGTCTCGACAGGAGTCCTTGTGGTACCGGAAGCTCGTCACGACTGGCAATTCTTCACGCAAGGGGGCTTATCAAAGAGGGCGAGGAGGTTACATTTAGAAGTATTATCAACACTGAGTTTGTTGGTAAGATCAGGGGGACTGCAAAGGTTGGGGAGCTTGATGCGGTCTTGCCGACCATTAAGGGACGGGCCTGGATAACGGGTGAGAAGAATGTGCATCTTGATCCTGAGGATCCTTTCCCAACAGGTTTCCTTTTAAATTAATAGGCCAATACAAATAAACGTTCATGATGACAGGAATTTTAATCATTCTTATCAGTGATGTAACAAATGATTATCGGGTGCAAGCTTTGAATTCAGAGTAACTTGTCAAGTTAGAAACTTGGAGATTCTTATTATGCCTGTTTCTTATAACTCACCATGAAGACAAGTCAACCGCGCAAAGCGGTAAGATACTCGCCATCCGTTTATTAGAGCAAAGTCTCATCTGGATATCATCCGAAAGAAAGGTAGATAAAGATTGAATAACATGGCAGCTCACAGCGAGATTTAGACCAAATCCAAACTTGAAGATCAAACACAATTTATTTCAAATGATATGCTATGCTAGGTATCTCTCAGTTCTACAACTTCGCTTTCGTCTCAGTAACCTTGTCAACAAGCTCAACAACTCCCTCGGCACATCCATAAGAACCCATATAACCCCATCCTGAGTGTCCATAATTATGGATAACCCAAGTTTCATCATCAAGCTTCTCCTCCTCTAACCTCATACCACCTTTACGGTAAGGGCGGAAGCCGACGCCATGTCTGATGATGCTCAGGCCAGTAATGCCCTTTCCACCAGCAATCTCGGGGATCAAATCAACGACTCGTTGCATGATTCGATTCGCGGTGTTGGGATCAGGTTGAGTGTCCCAATTACCGATTTGATACGTGCCACCGATGACGGTGCCTCCGCCTGCGGCTCTTTGCATCGCGTAGATCTCCTCGCCACTCTCGTCGAGAGCGCTAGAACACATGAATAGAGGGAGATTCTTTGGTGTCTCATTTCTCACCACGACGATTTGACCTCGTGCAGGAGCAACTGTAGTATCTTCCACACCACCAAGCTTCAGTGATCCGAGACCAGTAGCATTGATAATAATATTCGCCTTTTCCCCAGTATGGCTAAGATACTTGGCCTCATTGATATTCGTCAGGATAGCGCGCTTGACGATGACGCCGTATTTGAGACATTGGCCAAGTAACCAAGGGAGATAGATAGCTGTGTTGATGCAAATGCCCTGATATTGAAAACCGGAGTCATAGCCGGCGGCAAGCTCCGTGGGGGTGTTGTCTCTGAAATTGTTGAAGATGTCTTTGAACCAAGGGTTGTCAGCATAGAAGTGGGCTGAGAAACCGGACTTGGCAGATTTCATATCCTTATCTCTGCGGAGGACGTGTGTTGCTGGAACTTCGATTAGCCATTGTATCATATATATGAGAGATGAGGCGTACTCTGAAAGTGAATTCCTGCCTCTGGGGTTTCTTCGACGAGCTTCTTGAGGGCAACCCAAGTTCTCCGTTCCCAGCGGCTGGCTTCTTTGGGAGCTAAGCTGTGAAGACTGTATTAGAAGACTGAATTTCTGAAGTGAAGGTGTAGACCTACGGGATGACGTTTGCTCCAGCCCATGGTGAAGCGTACTCAGCATCGTAGTCGCCGGGCATATGTTTGCCTACAACAGTGACTTTGTTGCCCTCCTTGGCCAGAAGCAAGGCTGATGTGAGGCCAATCACACCGGCACTACATATATCAGCGATCTTGTCTCATGATATTCCACGAAGTAACATAAAACTCACCCTACAACGACAACCGTGTTATTCGACATGTTGATTACTCGATTATGATGACCTTAGAATATCGCCTTCTGTCAGAAAAATGGAAGATAAAAACAATACCATAACAACAAGCAAGAAGATGATAACTCAAGACACCGACCATTTTAAGTCTATCTCATTCGCCTGACAGAAATGGGCCTTGATTGGCTATATCGCGGACGCATACCCTTTCAGAATTTGTGGATTCGTCTCGATTGAAAAGGGCATCTGGGGCAGGCTGGGGCAAGCTGGGGTAGTCTCTTTAAATGGGGCCACTAGTGCAAACTCAAAGAGATTCGCTTCCGCGCTGGCTTTCCCAAGTTGAAAGATGGTACGAGGGGTCTTGTGACCTACTAAAGATAGCGCTTGTGGTTCTAGGCCCATCGTGTTCCCGTTTGAATTGACTAAAGTCTGATTGGTCTCGTAAAGATGGAGGCTGAGGCTATCTAGACACCGAATTTTAAAGGAAAATTAGAAGAGTCGGCGTATCACATAAATCTAGATATATAGGATAAAAGTCTTTGGAATGACAAGTCAAGTAGTTAGTGTTTCCCAGAATTGAGAATGCTCAGACAACTGTCCAGTTACCCGCTTCATCAAAAGTAACAGTCCTGTCACCAGGGCCATCAATCTCAACCTCTTTCGCCGATCCCATCGTTTCGGTCATAGTCGAAGACTTAGCATCGTCCGAGAACCACACGTAGACCTTATTCTTTGGAATGATTACTTCAGAAGAACCCGGTGATAAGTTGCCTGCATGGCTGGTATAGACAGGCACAAATTTTCCGTCTATCTCACAGAGGAGAAGAGCAGAGCACTCGACTTCGTTGGTGAAGAGGAAACCATCAGAAGGGGCATCGCTGCCGAAGCCAGTGGAGATAGTGTTGGCTTGGTCTTTGGCGATATTTGTTTTTGAGCCAAATTTGACCCTTACTGCGCTGGTGGTGTGGTTTGAATCCACTAAGAATAAATTTCAGCGTGTCCAAGTAAGATGATCAAAGGTTCTTCTTACTCGTTGAAGTGCTTGTTTTAACGTTGCCGGCGATTTGGTATTTATCGGTCCATGAAATCTTAATGCTGGCTTCAATGTCTGCATCAAATTAGTGAGAATTATATACTGATGGTAGATAAATTGACATACCATTGGTACAAGCCACCACGTTATGATACACTTTATCGCCGCCGTTGGAAACTGCCATGGCGAAGCAAAGCTTCGCGTCTGGGACTGAAGACCATTGCTTTCGCCACTTATCGTTGAGATTGACGCGGAGAGAATAAGATGCCATGGTGGGCGACTATAAGAAAGTGTTTGAGACTAAGAAGATAGATTTATACAAGGTTGAATTTGATGTTGGATATAAGGCAGGAAGTAATATCAGAGAAAGTGGGAAGAGAATGGATACAACTTTATACAGAGTTCTCCGCTCGACTTTATTGCTGCGAAGCATACATAAAATATGGTATCGCCACGTCTAGACCATCAAGAACTCAGCTGAAAAGACTGACTATATCGGATGAAGCTTTTTGATGCGTCGAAAGCAGCATAATGTTTCTTGTGTGGGTGAGCTGCCGCATGTTAACGAATTGAACCAATGATTGAGTTCAGCACCTAATATAATTAAACAGGTCATTGGATTAAAAAGAATCTCAAAGTCTCACATGTAAGCATTAAACGCTGACTAGCGGCAGGTTATCAATAGTCTCTTGACTTCTGCATGAAACTACCCCGCTACCTAGCCCAAGTGAGTCTAATTCTGCATTCGACTATCATCATCGATCAGAATGTGTTACAGCTTCGTCTTGAGATAAACTTGTTTCCTGTCGGGATCACAAAGACTTGTCGTTCATTAGAAGGGTCCGACCAGATGCATCTATTCGAGAGCTTTAGGTGGTGAAGACGTTTACACTAGGCAACCGTACCAGTTGAGAGGAAAACCATGCCTGCTGTAACAGATTGAGTATAACGATGAGGATTTCCTTAATTTTGAATAATAGCATTAAGTGGATAAGATAGAAGTCAGATTTATAATGATTCTCGTTACATACATAACGGTATATCTCCTGTTCTCGGGATTGGAACCATGAGCACTATCAATTAATTGATTCAACTGCCACCACGATCTTCCGTCAAACTGCGTCCTTACTTCTCAGCCGGCGAAGGTGAGTGCTCAGTACGCTCCTCGTGAGTAGCATGGCTGAGCTTAGCCTCAACATCACCCTTCTCAGCCTTGTTCGTAGCATGAGTAGCGACGCGTGTCTTCCAAGCAGGAGTACCAATGTACTTGATACCATTGGGATCTTCAAAGATATGAGTTGTCTCCTCGAGAGTCTTTCCAGCTGTCTCGGGGAACATGAAGAAGACATGGATAAACATGGCGACATTGAAAACACCGAAGATGATGTAACTCTTCCAAGTAATGTTCTCAAAAGCGACAGGTGTGAAAAGACCGAGAGCGGTGTTGAAAGCCCAGTTGGATGAGGTAGCAAAAGCAACACCCTTTCCTCGAAGACGGAGAGGGAAGAGCTCGGGAGGATAAGTCCATGAGGCGGGACCCCAGGTTGGTGCGAAGGAGGCGACGAAGAGGTATGTGCATGCGATCAGACCCTTTGCTGGACCTCCGCCGACGCTCATGGAGACTTGAGGTGACTCGCGCTCGTCCTTAGGGATTTCGGTTCCGTGAGCGGCTAAGATACCTGCGTTGGCGAACATCCATGTGCACATGAGAGCGGCGCCGATGAGGAAGGTTGGACGACGTCCCCATTTGTCCATCCAGAGAAGAGCAGGAATAGTCATGAGGACGTTGATGATGTACTGGATAGAGGAGGCCAGAAGGTTGGCATTTCCAGAGTAGCCCGCCATGGAGAAGACGTAGGAAATGTAGTACACTGGGATCAGTTAGTATATAAAGTTGAAGATTAGCATTGGAGAACTTACTCATAACGTTCATTCCAGTAAGCTGTGACCAAATCTGAGTGAACACTCCGATGATAGTTCGGTTCAGCATTCTAGGCTTGAAAAGGTCGAGATACGTGACATCCGCAATCGAAGCCTCGAAAGCACACATATCCTTGATATCCTGCAACTCAAGAGCCACAAAGGGATGATCCGGGTCTCCATGTCCATGCACGAGCGTAAGTACAGCATGACACTCATCCCAGCGATCCTTTCTCGCGAGCCATCTTGGCGACTCAGGAAGAAGCATCATCATGAAAAAGAGGAAGATGCCAGGAATCATCTGCAGACCCCAAGGAACGCGGAATGCAGCAGTGGAGTAATCGGCTGAGGTACGTCCACCGATGTTGGCGCTACCATAGGAGATGTAGTACATAATCAAGATGCCCCAGGTGATGGCCCATTGCTGCATACCGATGAAGCGACCGCGCTTGGATGGGGGAGAGATTTCGGCGATGTAGACGGGGACTTGAGCTGATTCAATACCGACGGCGAAACCGTTGACGACACGGCCGACGACGAGCATGCCGATGTTCTGCGATGCGCAGGAAATGATAGAGCCGATCATCCTAACTTGTTAGACCAACACTTGACAGAAATTGTGCTTGACTTACCAGATAACACAACCAAGCATGATAGAGTACTTTCTGCCCAACCGATCACTGGTAAAGCCAGAGCATAAAGCTCCAAGCCACGAACCAGCAGCCATACTGGCCGTTATACCACCCTGATTCAGCGACGTCGGACCACTACAGTCCAGATCATCGTCGAATGGAGGACCCTTGGGTCCTTGGTTGAAGTAACATTTATAAGAGTTTTCACCCAACTGGGCAGAAATAGAAGAGATATCGAAGCCAAAGAGTGCACCGCCAACTACCGCAGTGGCAGCGATCACGTAAATGTTTCCAATAGGCATGGTCACTTCAGTTGTGAAATCTCAGGTCGACAACCTTCCAGCAAAAAAGAGCAACGGTGTAACGAACATGTTATATATGCCCAAGCCCAAGGCATCGGGTTACACTTGCCCGACGTTGACCTTTACCTTGTTCAAAAGATCCTTCAGGGACGAGCATGCGATGCCGAGCCCTCTGATGATGGAGATCATTGCCTGTTGCTGCACAGAAGGATCCACAAGGTCTGGGGTTTGATGAGACGGTGGTAGCCGAACGATTGCACCAATTGATGTCTGAGGATGACGTAGGTTTGTGATTCTGCAAGTTTCTAACTTATTACTTGTGAAACGCTGAAAGCCTTTGTCTTACTGTACAAGTGGTTATGCTGTTGTAGTCCTCAATTGAGGTTTGAACATGGTCGTTGTTCAACAACCTCAGCATTGAAGCTCGCAAAAAAAGACCCAGTTCTCTCCCCATATCCTTCTCTTCTCCAGAATCTGAACCAACCCACTCAGCTCCGAAACGTTACATACAAAATTCCACCCGTGTTATCCCAGAGCTACGGAAAATATGTCTCTTTCGGCGACGTCCCCGCATGAGTTAGTGGTGTCATTGCCGATCACATCACGATCAAGACACTCTCGGGTCCGAAGCGCGTACTATGTACATGTAAATGTTCCCCAGATCTCTCCACACGACAAGTAGGTCCGAATACAGGGCATAAGCGCTGCAATAAGATGCAAGAATCGCTCTGGGTCTACGGGGAAGCTTATTACCTTGCGGAGAATAGGATTTTGTCACATGCGCTGTTCGTGTTTTAGCAAGCGACGACGGGATGGTGGGAATAGAATGCCTGATTTTTGGTCAAACCACAATTTGGTCCTGTGATGGACGATGATATTCCAAATTTACAGTATCGCATTGTTTTGTATTTTGCCTAAATCGAATACTTGCTTTCATTGTATTCATCCTTTTCTTTTGGGTTTGTTCCAGTGTTCTGGAAACGTTTGCTTATCACGCGCTTGGTGGGCAGTTTCATCAGGAACCGGACTCTGGCCAAGTCCTAGAACACCGACAGCTCTCTCTTGGCGCGTTATTCCCGCCCGAAGGATTCTGTGATTGTAATTTATGATGTCAACTCCTGCATATTCGCAACCTTCCGATTCAGCATTTTACGACTGCCTTGTTGTTCGCATGGCAGATGACAGACTTTTGACAAGAGGCAGCCAAGTTAACCTGGACCTTTTGACAGACAGCTCAATTAAGTTGCATGTTTGTCTACACACGGGGTCACCCGATCGCCAATTGAAGGATTGGCTTGTTAGAAAGTGGCAGTATGATGCCATGCTTCTTGTGATGCTCGTTTCCTGTTGTCGCAGTCGCGACCGTTGTCTTGTCGCACCACCACGACTCAACCTTAAGCCAATTAACCTTACGGTCGCGAACGTGTCTTTCTATAGCACGACGCTTCTAATTGACTTGTACCAATTCATAAAGGTTTAAAAGTGTCTCAATTGGTATGATGTTGTCTTCAGAGTTTGCGGCGCAAGACTGGACGTCCAAGTAAAATTGCCCGAAGCCTACTACGAAACGCGCCGCGCCGCGCCGCACCAGCTGCCGGAGCTAACACTACCGGGACTACTACCATCTTTAAGGTTGGCCGTTCCCAATTGCTTTTTGTCAGACGAATTCTCCGGTGCCTCAATGACAAGCGACCTATATGCTGGAGAGAATGTTTTATGCTGTCGTTACTCAATTGCTGTGTGTGACTGGTGACTTCTATTGTACTCAAATGCTACAGCAATGCTATGCTTCCAAAACTCCTCGTTTGCTGTGTTCTCTATTCCCAATTCCATAACCCCAATGCAAATGCAGTCATACTTCATAACGTTGTCTCATGCCCCAAACTCCTCAATCACACTCCTCGCTTCGGTAAAGTCATTATCAACACCAACATACCCCATCTCCAACCCAAATCCTTCCGGTCCACCAACCTTCATACCCTTATCCGTCTTCCACAGCGGATGCGCAGGTAGCGCAATGACATTCACCCTCAATCCGTAACGTAGATCCTGCGATCCGATACCTTCGCCGTCTTGGCCGAGGATGGAGATCAGATCGGGGACGGTGCAGACTACTTCTTGGGAAGCTTCTGTGCCGTCGGCGTCGCTAAGAGCTGCGTAGAGGTATTCGTTTTGGAAGGGAATGATCATATGTTTGTCGGAATCGGGGAGGGTTTGGTTGGAGCCGTGTGTTTCGCGCTCGTCGGCGCTGAGCGGAGCGATGACTACCGAACCCATTGTGTAGCCGCCGCCGATGTATCGTCTCACATCAATAATCTTTCCGGTGAAGAGAAGCTTTCCAGCGCAAACGTCAAACTAAACACCGTTAGCGACACTTCGGATTGAAACGACAAGAGATTGACTTACAATCGCGTCTACGTAGCTGGTCTTCTTTCGTCGCGCGTTATGCACAGCGCGACCGAGATACCACGCTTGAGAAACAGTGTTGGGAACACCATGCGACTTAATCACCGAACCGGGAAGTGGATTGGCGCATACTGCGCAGCCGAGACCGAGCTCAATGACAGTCGTTCGGAGGAGGGACTCTAGGCGGACGGGGTTGTCGGTACTCTGTTGTTGTTAGTATGGGGCTGAACGGGTGGTGACAGGCGACTTACCATTACGACGCTGACATTGCCTCTCGCGTCGGAGAGAACGCATGGTGTCAGAGAGTGGCCGTAGACGCTGAACGTGGCTGCATAAATTAGTAAAGGGAATTGCAGACTAGATATTGGGGGACATACCGTGATACATGGTTGGGTATGCTCGACCCATAGCATCGCCATCGACGACAGGCACATCAAAGTGCACAGCCGAAGGGAAAGCACTCATGCCATTTCCACCACCACTGCATCTGTTAGCTCATTTCTTCTCCTGACTGGCGACTGACTTACATCTCATCAATATACATGCCGTCAAAGGTCTTGTTCCCAACGACTTTGTTGACGGCATTAATTCCCGTAACAATCTCATTCCCACCCGCAATGCGCTCATTGATCACACTTGGACTTCCATACCACGAGCCAAAGCAAACCATCGCATCGTCGTCCAAGGCCTTGGGCGAAATAACTCTCATCTTCTTCTCAGGATTCTTTCGTAGCGCGTCGAGACTCTTGAGGTATTCGTGGTGTGTTGGGCCGCCGCCGCCTGTTCCTAGAACACCACATCCTGTGGCGATCATTTCGAGGTCGACCTCTGAGAGATACCATGTTCCGTCTTGGACATCGGGTCTGTATGCGTCGAGATCGATGTGCAAGGATGGCTTGTATGTTGGTACGAGGGCATCAGGCACACTGACCTTTTCGCCCTCGTCTTCCTCAAACTCGTGCATAATCGTCACAGGTGGTGAAGGTGGTGGTGTGAGTTCCTCAGGAATCGCTAGATGCCCAACAGCGCGGACTTGTATCCGGATCGCCCCGTTGGACATGTACTGAAGTGGCATCTTGTTGATCTCAACGATCTTGACACCACTCTTGGCGGCGCCCTTGGCAATAGCGAGATCAATTGCTTTCGCGCACGCAGCATCGACAATTGTCTTTTCGGATCGTCCTTCGGGGATTTCCACCACGTCGATTTCGCCAGAGACCTTGGCAATTGCGGCACCGACAGCATTGGCTGCACCTTGATGTATCGGGACGATGCACTTGTCCACACCGGCGAGGGTCTCGGTGACGAGCAGGGCGCCTCCACCAACAAGTAAGACATGCACCGGAGCTGACGAGACCTTCATCTGCTCAACGACAGTCTCTAGCATCTTGTTCAATTCCTTGCGGCCATTTTCCACAACAAAAGGCGGGACGTCGCTGACCAAAGAAGCATCTCCCAGATGAACCTTGCCCAGGGCAACGACGATATCACTCGCCGTCAAAGTCTTGCCGCCAAAGATCTTTGCTTCCTGCTGTATGCAGTGACCGACCGATCCAGGCCCGATAGTCACATTTTCCGTCTCGGCGTCGACTTGCACTTTGCTCCCCCCTCCAAGACCAATTGAGACAACCTCGGGCATAGAGAATGCAGTCCGGACACCACCCACTTCGACAAAACCGGGCGCTTGACGTGGAAAACCAGAAGGCAGCAAAGCGCAGACATCCGTAGTGGTACCTCCGATATCGACGACGAGAATTTGCGGCTCCTCCTCTTCAGCTTCTTTGTGATGATCCAGCCCAGCAAGGAACGCAGCACCGGTCATACTATTCGTAGGACCACTCGCAAAAGTCTTGATTGGGAATTCAGCAGCGGTATCCGCATCGATCAACGTTCCGTCGTTTTGTGATAGGAAGAGTGGGCATGTAAGTTGTAGTCGATGCATGGCTCGCTTAAAACCCTTCTTGACGCGATGGCCGGTCCGTAAGATGGAGGCGTTGAGAATGGTAGCATTTTCGCGTTCTAAGAATCCTGTTGGGCCGATGTCGTGAGAACATACGATTTGCAATCCTGGACATTCCTCAAGAATAATTCGTCGACATTGTTTCTCGTGAAGACCATCGTGGTCGAGTGGTGAGAATACTCCCACCAAAGCTATGACGTTGATACCCTTGGCGACAACATCCCTGGCAGCTTGTCGAATCTGTTCCTCGTTTAACGGCAATATCTCCCGTCCGTCAATCTCCAGTCCTCCATCAAGATAATAAACCCCTCCGTCGAGAATCGTCCTGAGTCCTAGGGGAAAGTCGGCGAACGGTGGTAGTTGTCTAGTAAAGGGCCCGCATAACCTTAGTACAGCGACACGGTCAAGTCTTCTGGCGTCTGCTTCTACAAGAGCGTTGATGAAATGTGTTGTCCCTATCGTAACGCTGAGGACGCAACTCTGATCAACATCGGAATCGCGTATGACTGCTCTTATTGCTGCTTCAATACCGCTGGTGATGTCTTTCGTTGTGCTCGCTTTGTGAGAGGCCAGGACGCCACGGCCAGGGTTATTGGTGGCTCGTATGTCGAGAATTGCGGCGTCAGTGTTTGTACCTCCAACATCGACTCCGATTCGGTAAAGGGAGGGCATGGTTTCTGTCTTTAGTTTGGCCAGGCCTGATAGCATGACATAGTACGTGGTTGATGGAAAGGGTACAGTATCTTTAAGTATGTCAATCCATCTCTGATTTTTTCTCTATTCCATTCCCCCGAAGCATTAAAAGAGAAAAGAAAGAAAAAATAGTACTCCGATGCTTTCCTTTTCGCTATCCATAGGACTTGTCCTGAAGGAGGGGCAAAAATGGGCAAGTTGGCCGACGCCAAGCGGAGCAAAACTTGCCCGATCGAATGGGAGTGGGCATTTCATGGGCTCCATCCCCCCCCGGTAGTTACTCTCCGGGTGTCTGTCACTGTATGCTTGCAGCTGCAGGTAAGCTGAGCCTGCAGCTGGTTGACCGAGAGGGCCTGTCTGTCGCCTGTACAGTGACGGAGACAGTGACAGGGAAGGGTAAAAATCTGAACCACTCCCTCGGAGTCTCACATTTCTATTTCTCCGATGAGTTTTGATCGAAACAGACGGGACCCTCACAGTCCCCAATGAATGACCCAATCTTGCCAGCTGCCGCCAAGATAACATGATGGTCTGTGATCTGTTCAAGCATTGAAATCGTAATCTCATCTTCAGCTCTCGTCGATCCTCTCCCCATCCTCCCCATTATCTCCCAATTTCCCTGATTACTGGCCAATGCGTCTCTTGGCCAGCAAGCCTTTTCTCTCTTCCCCATTCCAACAAATGTATTGTCAAGAGCAAAAGAGTCTGGGGTAGGGGGTACGTAGTACTGTTACAGTGGCTAACCCGTTGTAAGGAATGGGTTCGTCTCATCTCGTTTTCCCCAGTAAAGATAAGGCTGAGTAAACTAAAGCTGATGAAGCACAAACTAAGTTTCGAGGGGGCGTCTGTGTGTCTTGCTTGGGCTTGGGTCTCTTTTTTCCCCATTCCCCATACCCATAAACCCCTTCCCTCTTCCTTCACGAGAAGCAACCAAGCTACTGCATACACTATTGATTCTGAATCTTGATTCTGGCTTATTTTTTCGATCGGTCTAGAAACAGAGAAGAACTCGCCTAATTGAGGCTATTCCGACTTCTCATGGCTTTGTCAAAACTTCTCCAGCGAATTGAGCTACCGCGTGGCTCACAGTTCATCGTACGTCACTTTTTCCTTTTCTCGTCCTTTCACCGAGACGCGCTCAGCTCAGCTCAGCTCAATTGGATGGCATCGTGTTAACCCCCTGGTGAAAATAGAACGAGGATGTTAGACCAGTAGCAAGCGAGAGACGAACATGGACGTTTCTTACGTTCCATAACTTTTGTAAGTTGCTTATTCTCAAGCCCCAAGTCCCTATGAGGCAAAGCAAAACATGCATGCATCTGCATATAGGCGAATCGTTTTTGGCTACTCCTCCTTCCTTCTCTGATCTGACCTGATCTGACCTGATCTGACCTGATCTGATCACTGACCGCTGTATGCAACATGGAACAGGGCTCTTGATCAATTGCAACATCGCTACCTACTTGACTGGAAGCGCACTTATTCCATTGGGGTTGACGTGGTGGCAGGCAATTATTGCCATCATTTTGGGCAATGTCCTTGCAACCGCTGCGCTGATTCTTGCTTCTTTGGCGGGTGCTTATTATCACAGTAAGTCGTCAATTGGATGGTTGGTGATGGTTATAGCTGACAATTGCAGTTGGATTCCCTGTCTTTAGCAGGGCTGTTTGGGGAATCTGGGGCTCTCAATTCGTCATCTGGAACCGCATCTTCTTGTCCCTCGGTATGCTCCCTCTACCCCTCTGTCAGCACATCAATTAACAATTGCAGTCTGGTACGGCTTCCAATCATGGGTCGGCGGACAATGCACGTATCTCATGCTTCTGTCATGGGATCCCAACCTCGAGAAACACGTTCCTAATACGATCCCCGCCGAGACGGGCATGACATCCGCCCAGTTCCTCTCCTACTTCATCTTCTGCGTCGTTACGCTGCCTTTCCTATGGATCCGACCGCACAAGATACAAAAGTTCTTTTACTTTGCCAGTTCAGTTACCCTCGTCTTTTTCGTGGTGCTCCTGATCTGGGCGCTCGCGACGATGGGGTCTGATGGCTTTGGCGACACGATTAGTGACAGCACGCCTCTTCCTACGACTGGTGGACCGAACAGCGTTACTTGGCTATTGATTTCGGGAATTATGTCGACTGTTGGAGGCATTGCGGCTGGAATTCTTAACCAGAACGATTATGCGCGTCTTGCGAGAAAGCCCGGAGATGCCATTTGGGGCCAGACTTTTGCGTTCCCGCTCTACAGTATTGGCGCTTCAGTCATTGGTATTTTGGTTACGGCGGCGACACAGAAACGAATGGGCGAAGCTATCTGGAATCCTCCTACGTTATTCGCAGCTATGCTGGCCAAGGATCCAAGCTCCGGCACCCGAGCAGCTGTCTTCTTTGCTGGTCTCGCGTTGTCCATCTCCCAAATGGGCAGCAATCTACCAGGTAATGCCCTCTCAGGCGGCATCGACCTCGCCTCTGTGTTCCCCAAGTACATCAACATCCGTCGCGGCGCGTACTTGATGGCTCTCCTCAGTCCCATCGTCAACCCATGGCGACTCGTCAACACAGCGACAGTCTTCCTCACAGTCCTCTCAGGCTACAGCGTGTTCCTCGCCCCCATGACTGGTCTCATGGTCGCCCACTACAATCTGGTGGCAAAGGGCAAGATCAACGTCGACGACTTGTATGTGGGTCACAGCCGAAGCATTTACTGGTACAGCGCTGGTGTCAATTGGCGTGCTTTCGCAGCGGTAAGTTCCATATATTTTGCGCTTTGACTCGCTCGACACGGAGTTTATGGGTCTTGCCGGACTTTTTGCTAACTGACCTCTTAGTGGATTGTAGGCGTCGTGCCGCAAATGCCGGGCTTCATCGCTGCTGTCAACCCTTCAGTGCAGATTTCAGACGGTGCAATTGAGCTCTACCGATTGAATTATCTCTTTGGATTCATGATCAGTGCGGTCGTATACTACGTGCTTCACTTGGTTGTTCCAGAGAGAAAATTGGACGAGTTTCTCAAAGACGGTATCTCTGCGCAGGAGACGCAGCAAAAGTACCATGAGAGCTGGAACATGCCGTACACTGATGGTGAGCCCGGAAGCCAAGAGCGCATCATTGTCCCGCACAATAAGGGGCCTGATTCCTTGGCGACATCTGTTTAATTTAGGGATGTCTGTTTAAGTCGAGGCGATTGGATTGATTGGATTGCGAGCCTTTGTTTTAAAGTTTGTTGTAATTAAAAGTCGACAAGACAGACCTTGTATTACTATTAGTATTATTATGGAAGAAAGAGAAGTCATTCCCATGGCGCTGGGACCAGATCCATGATTCAGGGACAGCCTACAGCAATAGACCCTGTATTGTGATCGTCAAGGATCGTCACCCGCGATCAGATTCTCAATCTCCAGGCCGTCTTGTCTCGGACTCAAAAGGTCCAAGTCATGTTTGTTCCAACATAATTTGCTACAGAACCAACAACTAGTACGTAATTAGACCATTTTTGATGATCGTATCTGCATTCGGTCAAGACCGCTCCATCAAGTGCCGAGACCAGAGAGAAGCCAAAGAGAAGCACCCCTGGGGAGCCCCCGACCCTTGTCGGCCAACTTATCTTTCCCCCCATTCCCTCCCTCTCCATCACGCCAGTTCTTTTCGCCGACACGAACTCGCTTGCTTTTCTTTACTTTCCCTCTTCTTTGGCAAGTTCTTTTTTTGTTCGCTGACAATTCGGTCCATTGTCTCCACGCCTCCCTATTCTCCGATTACCGGTTGGCTTCGGGTACCTGAAAGAAGAAGCATAGAAGCCCCATCTCAGGCACACGATGGACCATTCCATGGATCATGTTAATGTTCCTCCTCCCCCATTGGATCAAGGTCATGGTCATGGTCATGGTCATGATCAACATCATCCTGAAAGGGCAACTTCTTCGGCCACTCCCCGCAAGTTCAGCATTCGCAGTAACTTTGGTAAAGCGCGTCAACCCAGAAGTCGCAAGAACAGACCCTGCGACGCGTGTCGGCGCCGCAAGACGGCTTGTGTCATAACTTCTGAGCCCCCATGTGAGAGGCGCCCGATTTTCCATCCCCACTGTTATTCGTTTTATCCATCATTGTTTCATTACCGTACTATCGGTTCTATCTCTACTCTACTCTACTACCCTTGACTTATCGCATCCACTTATGCCATCGCCTATACATACCATCTATACTATAACCTCAATCAACTGACCAGTGCATCAATTGTAACTCAGGCCTGTTTTGCAAAAGCAGAGGCTTAGCATGCCAATCCCTCTCCGATACCGACCCTCTGGGTCCTCGGCCCGGACCTTCTTCTACTTCGGGGTATAACATCCCTGGTCCTGGAGGGCCATCGCCTTCAGGTGCCGAATCCTCCAAGAGTTATGACGCGACAAGTCCAGCATCGGTCACAGCTTCAACCTCCGTCACTGGCACAACCTCAGCCATATCTCCCTCCGCTACCTCAGAAGCGAATCGCCACAGATCTGAGCCAGCAGCCGTTGTACACAACGGTCTTGTCCGGCCCCATCTTCCGCCTGTTCCTGGACAGAGTCCTTCTGGACTAAACTCACTCAGCCTTGATCCACCCCGTCTTGAACCTAATCAGGAAGCTGTATATGCTCTTGAAGATGTACCCGGCAGAACAGCCCATGCTATGGCATTAGCCTCGGAGCAGGATCCTTACTTTCTCGACGCCTTTAGATCAGTGCTGCTTAGCGAGAGAGAAGGTATTGACGCCAACTTTGTCCAAGTCTATCATGGCGGACCTGACCAGGATGATTACCCGATGCACTTTTTGCTTCTGCTGGATGAGTTCCCCGATCATAAGAATGAAGCCACAAAGATGGCTTCCGACTCTATCGAGCGCCTCGTTTGGCCCCACGGCCCGGCCCTCGTGCGTCTTTACTTCCGCCACGTCCATGCTGGGTTCCCCGTAGTCCACAAGACTCGCTTCCTACGTCAATACGCAACATCAAAGCTTGACATACCCTCGTCACTACGAGGCGCTGTGTACGCCCTCGCTTGCGTCTTCTGGTCCCAGGATGCCGGCCTCGCGAGGATCCCATGTCCTTTCAAGCAGCACGAACTAACCAACAATGCTCAAGAGGCGCTACGACGGGAACTCGAGGCACCTAATCTGTCTCGGCTAATGTCATGCTTGCTGCTGCTTCATATGAAGCCACCAGAGATAGACAGCGTCGAGACGCCGTACACCTGGGTGATGGCGTGTCAAGCAACATCCGTCGCGCAAATGCTGGGTCTGCACCAGGATCCTGACAAGTGGAATATTGCGCCTTGGGAGAAGAGGTTGAGGAAGAAGCTCTGGTGGGCGACTTTCTACACAGACTGCTGGTCAGCAGTGGCCCATGGTAACCCTCCACATATTAGCTATGAGTCCTTCACCACGGCCCCGCCAGATATGGATGATCTACGGTCTGGTGAGGATATTCCTGATGATCTGCGATACTTGATTGATCCTGAGGATGCCACATTTCGCGTCGTGGACGGTGCGCGCTTCCTCGAGCAGATCACTGTGTCGAGGGAGATGCGTGCTATCCTAGACTGCAGCCAGTAAGTTCCACCCCGGTGTGATATCTGCACAGTCACTTACATGAAGCAGTGGTGTACGATCAAACACACAGACACGTCAACAACTAATACCCATTCGCGAGACGCTTAAGGAATGGCCCAGTCTCATCCCGAGCTGCCTAGCTGTGAGACCTTATGCTCATAATGGTACGTCACTTGCACAGTTGGCCGATCATAACTGACATCTATAGGACCCCTGCATATATCATTCTTTGCAACACAGGTGCTTCTCTGGCGTGGTCTGATGTTCCCCGCTACGAGAGCCGCAAAGGTCACCCCCGGTTCAAACCTCCAAAGGTGGCTCTCCACCGCGCTCGCCGAATTTGAACTATTCACGACGTTTATGTCATATATCACTGAGGAAGAACTGACCAGCTTCTGGGGTCGCTGTAAGTTACTCGCACCCTATTCCAGGTATCTTCTTGTACTAACGCCCTTTAGTTGCCCGATCACAACTTATCCTTTGTGGAAACTTCTTGATCTACCTCTTTCTGTTAGCTAGTGATCCGCGCGACATCGAGGCAGCTTACAGACTGTTGGAGAAGTTCCACTTATCGCTGCAGAGACTCGGTGCTACCGAGGATACAGCTGCGCAGGTGTTTTTGAGGCCTGTTATTTTGAGGATTGACTCGTTCTTTATGCAAGCTACGGAGTTGATCAAACACGGGAGGACGGTCAAGCTTGAACCGCCTGTTATGACGGTGCCGAGGGGAGAGTAGTCAGATCATGACCTAACTACATGATAATTCTCCTGTATAACGAATTGAATGACATGAAAGAGACGACCTGGTCAATCGTACTGGTGATATGCAACAAGTCTCACACCTTGAGGATACACACCGTACCGCGTCACCTCAAACATGCGTAACGCAACACCTTCGGCGAATACATGCATACTTACAAACTATTGATGCAACCAAACAACCCTTGTAATCCTGTCTTACATGCGTGAATCTGACGTCGGCCAACTTTGATCAATTATCAGATTGCTAAGATCGACGAGGTGCTTAGCTTCGGGATAAAAAGACGTTGACCCCACCTCGCTTATTTTGTTCGCCGATAACGGGCCAGGGATGAGGATCGTCTGTATTGCCTCGAAGGAGATACTTGCATTAGTATCATGCAGATGTCTTGAAAGTTCGCCGTTCAGCCTGTTTTCTCTTGCAGGTTGCTTTTGGATGATATGCGTGGTGTTGGGATGGTTGATGAAGTGTCGGATGATTGGCAATTTGCTTGAAATGAGTATAGGGTATGTTTGAGGAAAGTTCAACCATGACAACATGGGAAGACCTTTGGGATAGATAGGTACCTTACTTCAATTGATCTTCAAACATAATGCATGTCAAAATCATTCTTAATTCAGAGGCAAGTGCCCATTGTAGATCGAGGAACTATAGTCGACGTCGCTTGAACATTTACCTTGCCAACCATTTTAGCAACTCCGCCATGAATTGGTCATACCCGTCAACAAACGAGACGTGCCCAGCGTCCGGGATAATAACAAGATCAATGTTCTGGCTCTTGCCCGCCTCGTCAAAGCTCTTCTGGATCTCATCTCTCATCTCAGCCATACTCTGCGGCAGATTCGCATCCTTCTCACCAACAATGCAAACAGCATCATCAACAGAAGCGCCGATCTTCGGCAAGCGCGGTCTCAGGTCAAACGTCTTGCTACTAAGCGCGTTACAGCATGTTATGAACCCGTCAAGAGTTGAGCCGGACATGACTTTTTGCATTCGCTGAGTTTCCTCAGGATTCTTGTCCATCCAATCCTCTCCGAACCATCGATCCATGGTACTTTCGATCATTGACTCCAGGTTGCCTGCTTCCTTGGCTGCAGCGACGCGAGTGGTAAACGTATCTTCTGTACCTGCGTTGATGGGCGATGAAGAAATGGTGTCGCAGATGGCAAGCTTCTGAACAACGTTGGGGTATTTGGTCGTGAAGTAAACTCCAGCTGAGGCACCCATTGAGACACCAACCCATGAGTGAACCTTGTTGATTGACAGGGTCTTTAGTAGGTAATGCACATCGTCAGCCATTGAGTCAAATGTGGTGGTACTCAAGTCTTTCGGTGCTGATGAACCTCCATGACCGGGCTGGTCATAACGCAATGTGTTGTAGCCATTGCTGTGAAGAACCTTAACGACATGATCCCATACTGGTAGCGGTGCTAAGAGTGAATTGGAGAGGACGACAAGAGGCGCATCGCTACTCTTTGCGGGCGAGTCCAGACGGTAGTTCAACGTCCTTGAGTCGGGAAGAGTCAATGTGCTAGCCATTTTGAATCGAGGTCTGGCGATAAGATAAGGCTTGGAACAATTGACAATCGATGGACGAACGGCCCTACAGAATAACATGTTCAAGATGATGTCTCGTCTTGGTGGTGTTCAGTCAATCCAATCCCCATAATTCCTGTCACCCCTCATCCCCCATTCCATCAGCGGCTTTTTAGGCCTGACGCCATCTACGTCTACCATCGGAAGCATACATCCGACCGCGGGAAACAAACCGAAACCGCGTATCCGTAATTCTAAACCCCCCAGCACAGCAGGAACCATCGATTCGATGAATCCCATTTATCGTCTTCCACAGAGTCAGAACTCAACATGTCGGCAGAATCCTCAGCGATAGCCGCCAAGCGTCGCTTAAGGCGTATACCTGACGAATCCCGTAAGAGGAACGCTCAGAGCTGTGATCGTTGTCGCAAGGTGAGTGACTCTCTTGCGTAAGACACAACATACCATACCACACCCCATCCGTACAATGGAGGACCCCTGGCGCTGATTGTTTGTCTTAAGCGAAGGTGCAAGTGTGTGCCTGATCCTTCGGGTACTGGCTGTGTAAATTGTGTTGAACATAATGTCACCTGCTCATATACCGCGCCGCGCAAGACGCGCTTCTACGGCAGTGTTGATGATTTAAGCGATAGGTTTGTGCGACTCAAGTGCCGATCTATCCCCATCGTATAAGCTCATGACTTGCTAGGTACCGTTGTTTGGAAGCTCTCGTCAAAGGTGCATTCCCCGATGAATGTCTGGATAATGTCAGTGACCTTGCGCAATTGGGCCAGCGCTTGGGCTACAAAATGCCCAATGTTACAGACCCGAATCGTAAGCTTCTCAAGGTCGATGAATTGGTACAAAGTCCTCCGGACAATGAGCGCACACCTTCGATAGGGCCCGAAATTGTTACGACGGATGGAAATAGTGCTGGTACGACGCCGCCTGATAAGCAAAACGAAGGACCCCAATCATCACTCGTCAAAGACAACTCAGGCCATGAACACTACATCGGACCTTCAGGAACACTCAACTTCTGGAACCAACTGCGAAACCTTGTTGACTCGAATGATAGTAACCCTGCTCCCGGCCGCGCGGGGACTACCAAGTTTACTCAAGACAACACGAGTCGACTCCTCGAGGCTGACGGACAAGACGACGAAGACCAACCTCAACGCATTGCGCTTTCGCCACAAGATGGACCTTCGCCTGGATCAATGACATCCGCCATTGCGCGCGACTTCACACGTCTGCCAACCACGGACATGGATGAGATCCTCGGCCAGTTCCCTCCGAATGAGGTACTTGAGCAGCTCATCCAGTCTTACTTTAAGAATGTTCACGATGACTTTCCGCTGTTCCATCGCGCTACGTTTGAGGAGGAGTATGAGTTATTCATTGTTCAAGCTCGACGACAGCCGCGTATCCCGAATTCGAGACCACTTCAATTACCTGACTGGGGCTGGATTGGATGCCTTCATATGATCGTCGTATTTGGATCAATTGCCGACCGGTCAATTCCCAACATCGACCACTCTGGTCTGCGACGAAGATCAGTCACAGTGGCTAGAGCTTTGCTACCCCAGTTCATATCGAAATGTTCCCTCACCAATGTTCGTGTCTTGCTACTTCTGTCGCTGTTCCTGCACAACAACAATGAGAGAAACGCTGCGTGGAACATCGCAGGTACGGCAACGCGCATCTCCTTTGCCCTCGGCCTCCACCGCTCCGACATGAGCTCTTCGTTCAGACCAGTGGAGAGGGAAGTCCGGAAATGGGTGTTCTGCACATTATACGCCTTCGAGCAATTCCTCGCCTCGAGTCTTGGTCGGCCCAGTGGCTTGCAGGAACTTGACGTCGAAGTCGTCCCACCAAGGGAAGATTTTGTGGAAGGAGGCATCGGAACGGACGCCAGACTTGTGTCATGGTCTGTCAAGCTCCAAGCTATCCTTGCGCGAACGCGACTTTTACACGGCATCAATCGAAGTCCGGGGCCGAAACTGGATGAGGTCCTGAATGCTCTGGATGGGTGGAAGAAAGACATCGGAAAGGCCCCAGGACTGGATGTTTCTTGGATCAAGCTTGAAGGCCGGGCGCTTCCTTCTATAGACGAAGACGGCGCTGTGGATATGGAGGAACTCAAAGTGTCGCTGGCCTGGAAGACGCGTGCACAACTCCGGGCTGTCTTACTGCTACACATTCAGTTTCACTATATCACTATCGTCGCTACACGACCGTTACTACTTCAAGACGTCGCGGCAACAAGAAAGGCAGCCCTGGAAGCGTCCAAGGCACCGGTACCTAGACATGCTGCGTTATGCGTCAAGCACGCATGCCAACTGAGCTATCTCATGATCCTGCTCGACCACTTTGACGTTATCAATGGCCTTTCCGGACTCGATATATTCTACGCTTACTGCTCGGGTATGGTTCTAATCCTGCGACTACTCCGACTACTCCCTGGGGAATTGGTCGAAGGAGTTCGTCCAGACGAAGTCGCCCTACAAAGCAAGATCCGACGTCTTGTAGCGACTCTACGAAACGTCATCAACCACACAGATAAATGCGGCTCAATGAAGCGCCTAGCTCACGTTGTCGACACGTTCTCAGAATGCGCCAACAGCCCAACCGATCTATCAGCGACATCAAACCTTCCTCCGCAGAGTATGAACATGCCCTACCCAGTCCAGCAGATGCAACCACAGCAAGCCCCAGGCATTGGATCGATGGACGGTCTTTTGAACTTTTTACCATTTCCGGGATTCGGAACAATTGATGGCTCGATGGCACAGTTTATACCAGGAAATGAGATGGAATTGGCTGGCTGGACTGATATGGAGTTTTTAATGGAGGGATATGGGGATGCTAATAGATCGGGATACTACGGATAGAGGTGATGAGTTATTAGACTTGATGCCCGAAGGTTACTAGACTATGATACCCGAATAGATGAAGTGTACGAGAGGGAATTAATAGTATCGCCAAGATATAGAATCGCCAGAGTTGGCAAGCCAAGTTTTATCATTAAACTAAGCGAATGCGAAAACCTTTCGCAAGCTATGACTGTTACGGAAATACCTAGTGTCCCGTGTTTCAAGCCAGAGATGACAGGTCACTCACTAACAAGCATTTACGAACTAGTGCTTACGGGGCCGACAGCCTTACAGAAGTCGCTGCCCACATTGCATCTTATCCCCTATCCCCTCCTCTTTTGAAGGATTCTGAATCCCTACCTACCTACGCGAGAGGATCTTGAACTATGATGGATGGCCAAAAAGATACAGCAGCCAAGAAGACAGAGGATGCCAAAGCTAAAACCCGACAGCGCCGCGCTCATACACGAAGTCGAGCTGGCTGTTCAGAATGTCGCAGCCGCAGAATAAGATGTGGCGAACAACGGCCCAAATGGTGAGTCAACCTGCCATCTCCGTCGTAGCGAAAAGCCACAAAACCCTAATTATGTGTCAGTGAAAACTGCATCAAGGGCAACAGAGCATGTGAATACCCGCCAGTCAAAATTCCTCTTAGGGAGAGAAGAGCGCTAGAGAGAGCGGCAGGTGAAGCTCTGCCGTGGCAGGATGCGACACCGTGGGAATGTGCACCTTCTAAGAGTGCCAAGAGGCCCGAGTTACCTAGCGCACAGGCTTTGGTAAATCAGATGTTGATTTCAGGGTCAGCGACGAATTTCAAGAGTGCTGTTTCTATTGACATGCCGCTGAGATCGCAGGAGCTGTTTCATTACTGTGAGTTGGATCTGGGAGTGAGCTTATAGGCTGTATACTAATATGCATCTTTAGTCTATGAGACAGGCCCGACACTTGGCGTGTCGCCAAAAGATCATACGAAAGATTGGTAGGTTTACATAATACTATGGAATCAACCTTCTAACAGTGTATAGTCTGGCTTATATCATCACAGACCCTGAAGCACTTCGAAGCGCAGTACTCATGGCTGGTACTCACTTTGCCTTCAACGTGGGCAGTCTACAGGACTTTGAACTTACCTTTCTTCATCACAAGATTGAGACTGTGCGGAGGGTGAGAGATTGGGTTTCTCGGCAAGATCCAAAGCTGGTTGCTGAAATCACCAAACAAATCGTTACTTTGGCGTACACTGAGGTTTGCTCTGATATCTATTTAGTGCCCAGAATAAGGCTAATGGTTTCAGACTTGCCGTGGTGATATAATGCTAGCAGAAACACACTTGAGCGGTTTATACGCCCTTTTGAAAAGTTTAGGAGCTCTACCCAGCGACGAACGTAAGACTCTCGACCAAGAGCTGGACGACCGATATTTTCTTCTGTCAGTAGCTCCCTACTGCTTGTATTTTTGATTCTAGGCTAACACGATAAGAACATCTACCTTCGTGGAGGGCATGAAAAGCGTTTTTGGAGCCGTTGCCCGCACAGAAGGTCTCGGCAACCACACAGTAACCCGCGATTCAACAGACGTCCTCTATCAACTTCACAAATACTACACGAACAAAGGAAAGATCGGGCATCATCTCAAGCTCAAGGCGATTCGTCTTTTCCCGGCATTTTTCAACCCACCTCACAGCGGAGCTCAGCTGCTCGATATCGACTACAGACCTGTCATCAGATGTCTTCGAGATACGACCGAGAATCTAGGTGGAGATCCACACAACGATCCTTTTTGCGAACGAAAGAATTATTTTTGGCTGCAAGGCCCTTCTTCGAAACTTTACGATAGCGTTATCATGGCTCATCTGAACTCGATTTACTACGGAGGCGACAACGATGGGTCCGAGGCTAGTACGCCCGAGACTTCGAAATATTTGGTTTCATGGTGTGCATTAACAATCGCGGCGCAACTGTACATGCAAGAAATTGCTGTTGTCTGGGGTCCCCTTAGGCTGGAAATAATTCTATACTCGCTGCGCATCTTGCAGAGGGAGATAACTATTGCCATGCGGAATTCGGAGCTTGTAGAGTTTATATATTGGCAGTCTTTTATTGGGTTGATTGGTGTTCATGCTTACGAGAAGCATGGCGGTCTGGACTCGGAGCCGAGTTTCAAGGCCTTCTTTCACAGGATGATAAGGGAGCAGAGTAAGGCTTTGAGGCTGTATACTTGGGATGATGCGAGATGGGTTTTGGCGAATGTTTTGTGGCCTCGTTCGGATAGTAAGGATTGGTTGAGGAGAGAGATTTGGGATACGGCTATGAGTGATGGGGTTAGCAGTTGAGTAGACATATCTCAAGAAGTTCAGTGATAGTAAAACCAAAACATTGGAAAACCATGAAAATTAAAGTCGTGAGCAGAGCCTCGAACTCAGAAGCAATTTGCGACGCGTTTTCCAATACATGAGCATAGTATGAAATTCTGGGGTCTCGCCTTCGTCCATGAACAGGCGCCTTGGGTATGAGGCAATCAGCCACCTGCTCATTCCAATATCCTGAATCGGCCTGGCACCCATCTTCAACATTCCCTTTTTGTATTTTTGTCCTGTCTTGCTGTCAGCTGCATAAGAATATTGAGGCGATGCTCGAAATGCGATTCTGCGCCCGACTTCTGATAGGTGTTTCAACCCACCGCCAGCTTGGCGGCTGGCTCAGCCCCAATGCATCACAGCCCGGTAAGATTAACGTTGCACAGGCAATTCGTCTGGCAATAAATTTACCACACTCCATCATTGACTCGTCTGTTTTCACTGATACCACCTTTGTCTTATTCACCGTATTTCAGCAGCAACCATGGAACTGCCCGATAGACAACAGTGTCGAATCTTTGTGGTAGCTCCTGTGAAGGGAGACTACAAGACTGCCGAGCTGCTATTGCATGAGAAATACTATGAACACGCACTCAACTCCTCAGGAGCAACATGTCTTGTCGGCAGGATTGGTTCACATTACATCGTCTTGGCCGGCAATAGCGAGGACATACTCGACATCGCAGCGTTTACCAACGACACGGTCAACGATATACTGAAACAGTTCCCCTCAATCAAAGCCGGCTTCTTGATAGGAGTCGACGGAATAGCGCCAGCGGCCGGGATTGCCAGGACAGGCGATGTCGTTGTCGGAACACCGCAAGGTATTGAACCAGGAGTGGTCCAATTTGATGGTTCCCAAACAGCACAGCTTAATCGCCTTTCTGTCACCCACCAAATGGCAAGGCCACCCACCGCAGTCCTTTCTGTTGTCGAAGATCTAAAGTCCTGGCTGGGCCGTCTGGAATGCCAAGAGCAATTTTTCAAAAAGTCAATGACCGTCTACAATGCTGAAACCGAGCAACAGAACTTGAGTTGGAGTAACTCCGTCAAAATCTTACATGGCAAGGTTGCATCTTGTAACCACGAATCCCCGAAAGATGAAACACTACATAGAACTGGCTATAATAGCAAGGTTCTTTGTTTCGAAAGAGCGGCGGCCAAGTTGAACTTTCAACTACCAATCTTGACTGTCTGTGGCGTGACGAAGAAACCAACTTCATCCGAAGACACACCAAAGCAAAGAGCGGGAACAGCTGCTGTAACATACGCACTATTGGTGGCCAGCAAAATAGATCCCTCCCAGCTTGAGAAAGAGCACACTTTCACCGATATATTCTCCTATGAGCCGTTTGGACTTGAACGACCAGGCTTTCGTCTTATGCAACTCCACCAAGGAACTCAGCCTTCAATCCAGTGTAGCCTGTTTCAAGCTTATCTCGACGAAGAGGCAAGTATCATGCCGTATGAGGCACTTTCATACGTTTGGGGAAGTCAGAATACGCCTTGCGAGATTACCGTGGATGGGAAAACGCTGTGCATCACGATCAGTCTGTATGACGCTCTGTGTCACTTGAGGCAGCCGCATGAGGATCGGATACTCTGGGTCGATGCTTTATGTATCGACCAGAGCAACATCAAAGAGCGCAGCCACCAAGTTAATCATATGGGCGAAATCTATCGGAAGTGTGAAAATGTCATCATCTGGCTTGGCTACCTTAGCGGCAATGCGGCTGATCTAAAGACGGTGGTTGATAGGTTTTCAATGAAATTGCCCTCTGAAGCCTTCCGAAAATGGCCTCGGGGTGATCAACGATGGCGAGATCAATGGCAGCAAATAAAAGAGAGCCTGGGCATAACCGACAACAAAAGACTTCTCAATGGTTTGAAAATTTTCATGGAGAATCCTTGGTTCACAAGAGTCTGGGTGCTTCAGGAAGTTGCTAATGCCAAGAGAGCTATCGTTGAGTGCAATCTAGGGAAGATTTCTGCGAAGCTGTTCGCCCTGTTGCCCCATATAATTGATTCACCCGTCAGTGAGCAATGTCAAGCTGTCCTGGACATTATGCCCAGTCCCTTGAAAACAACAACGTGGTGGAGTCAAGACCGAAACCTTTGCACGTTGCTGTGTAAGTTCAAAGGAAGTAAGGCTTCAGATCCTCGCGATAAGGTTTATGCGTTACTTGGAATGGCGTCCGACATGGAATTGAGCAGCATCGAGCCCGACTACGCTAAAGAAGAGCATGTGGTTGTGCAAGAGTTATGTGTGTATATCTACGGAAGCCAGAAGCCAGCCAACACTTTTTCAACTACTTCGATACGGGAATTACAATCTCAGCTTTCCACAATATCAGCCCGACTACTCACCGACAAGCTTGAACAGCACGTTACAACAGATTGCCTTCTGAGATTCCTCAGCCGCCAGGGCATGGTGAAAGCCATTCATAATGATGTGTTCCATCAACTACTTGATCACGGAAGTTTCCCCACAAACGCCTACCTGGACAAGTGTGAAGGTCCCATTCCCTTCAACCTCGACGTTGCCAAACGAACCTTGTCGGCCTTCCCTGATGTATTTGATGTCTTCGAGCAAAGACACCATATCTCACCGGGCCTGACGAGGAATATTCTGTCATGGATGGCCCAGGCCCGTCACCATGGTCTACGACCCTTTCTAGAACGTGCGAGGGGAGCAGTAGATCCCGGGTCGGAGCTTGTTATGAATGTGATGGCTTATGGGCCGACCGATCGCATTTCACTTCTAAGATCGGTCTTCGAGGCATTTCGAGAGCCCATGCAACTAGATGAGAATGTCTTCCTTCTTGCCATTGGGGAGGACAAGACAACTCTCAAGCTCATTCTTCAAAACTGCCAACAACCAATTGTGATCCCTAAGAAGGTTCTCGCTAAGGCTGCCTCGACTGACGTCGAAACTCTGCAGATCATTCTTGAGACTCCCAGAAACGCCGTCCACCTAGAAGAAGAAACGTTCGCCGCCGCAGCTTCACAGAGTCTCGCGACAGTTCGGTTTCTTCTCGATCACTGTGATAGGCCAGTATTAATCAGCAGGCAGTTCCTCCGTGACGCCATCAGGATTGGTACGGATATTCTTGAGCGGGTTCTTAAGATGTCCTCTGAGAGTTCCACAATGATAGATGGAAGCCTTCTTGCCTTGGCGGCCAAACAGGGGCCAAAGACACTCAGGATCCTTCTTGATCATTGTCATGATCCCGGTCACAGAGTTAGCGAAGCTATACATAGCGCTGTGAAATATGACTCTCGCACTCTGAAGACACTTCTAGAGCTGTGCCCCTGCAAAGTTGAGTTAGACGAGGCCCTCTTTGTCTGCGCCGTGTCAAAGGGTCCGAAGGCACTTCGTCTTCTTTTCCAACACTGTATCCTGCCTGTTAATTTAACGGACAGGATGCTAGATATTGCCATTGCGAGCGGCATAGCTATACTAGAAGAAATCTTTGAAGACTGGGCGTCCGATATCGAGACCTCGCCCGCTATCATAAAGAAAGCCACCATGACTGGCACGCAAGCTCTAGAACACCTTATCAACAATGCGGAAAGTAAGCTTCAAATCACTTATGACATCCTGGAGCATTCAAAAGTATCAGGACCGTCTCACCAAATGCTTCTAGGGGTTCGAGCATCAGAAAGAAATATCACTGAAGACGAGGCAATTCGAGCAATTCAAAGCGGTCCCGAAGGCTTCCTGGAATTACTTAATCGACAAGGGACTAACTTTAGACTCAACGAGAGGATATGTGAGATTGCTATACAGCACGACTATGCACTTTATTATTTACCAAGGAAACGGCCGAGTGAATGGCTCATCTTTCGACCGAAATCGGGTTCTTATCAATTGGTCAACTCTGAAGAGGATGATAGTCCTATGAGGGCTATCAGGGAAAGAAGATTGTTCACAACCTGGGAAGACTCATTGTTGGAAAGCAGAAATGTCCAGGAACTATTTCCTTTCGAGCTTTGAGGAGCAGGTCTTTAAAAGTATAGAGACAAAACAACATAATGACAATCACATATTATGAAACTAAGTGCTAGTAAAAGTCCGTCTCAAGCTATATCGTAAGTCATCCAACGCTAGTATGACAATGAATACCATAAAAGCTTATCTTCCTCCAAAGTTAGTAGTTAACCGGCTCACCAGCACAATCATCCATAGAACAACGTCCGGGAACATCGGTGGTCATAAATAATAAATAGATATACGAGATCGAATTCACTTCGAGTTGATCAAAGGCTAGATATTCATTTGCCTTCTGTCCCCGACACGAAGACTGTGAGAACAGTAGCATATCTCGAATGTTTCGTTAATCGGTGTCTTGAATGAACGGGAAGTCACTTACGTTGTCCCAGCCACGACTAACTCGATTGTCTTGACACGAGTTAATCCCGAGAGGACGAGAAGATAAACCACTGTCGATATCATAACAATCAAGAGCCGCATCGGGAGGTCGTTAACGAGATTGCAGATAGCTATCGGAAGCAATAACAACATCGTGACCAGGCATATAAGAAACGCCTTTGCTGTGCGCTTGATGAATTGGCCAGAGTATATATGTACGTTGGGATCTGACGAGGCATCGCGGCCGAAGTCTACTGAACCGTCGGGACAGGAAGAAAGGACCATGCGATAACATCAATGACGTTTATCTAGGATAGCCTGGTCTGTAACCCTGGCTGGGGTAATATTAGATACCGTAGTTACTGGGGACGAGAAGACATACTCTTGTTAATCTGGGCTTCCGTAGAGCGTGCACAAGGGGCTGACACAGGAAGGATACGAGCCGCGACCTTTCGTCTTCGAAAAGGGCATAGATTGCGAGAGCCCATGACGGCTTGTCACCTTTCTGTGATCGCGATGAGGTATTTTGAATATGCAGGTCGAACCAACAGCGTCGCAACATGTTATGGTGGCCTATCGCCTATTTGTGATTGTGATGAGGCATTTTAAATATGCAGGTCGAACCAACAGTATCGCAACACGCTGGGATGCCAGAATGCTCAGTATAGAGGCGAGGTACTATATAAGTACGTGCTTGAATCCCACCAAGTTTTCTTCATTTTTATGTCAATTTCCATTCACAATCCAAATTTCCAACGACGAAGAGTAAGTGGTCAGAGTCTGGTCGGGAGTGTTAATCTGACTGGTGCTAGAAATCATGCCGCACGTAAGTGCCTACGCAACGGTATGCATCCTAGTTACTCTTTATTAATTGTCGGATATTAATCTAGAATCTATTATTAGACACCGGCCTTCACGGTTGGGGACAGTGTGTATTACCTCCGAAGTGACGGTTCTCGCGAAGGACCCTTCATGGTCGCAACCGCGCCGGTGGACGGAACATGCAAACTGTGCTACAACGACGGAAGACCCGCCCAAAACAATGCAATGATCAGCGTTGACAAACTGCAAGCAATCTAGCCAGGCAATGATGTGAGAGAGGAGAATTGCTGAAAGGCGCATCGGGCTGTTTGTGGATGACATGCAGCTTTCGGGCAGCAGTGCAGTAATTTGTTTGGGAAGTATGCAGAAGGCGACAAGGCATTGTGATTTGGACGGGCCGGGCCATATATTAAATGTGCTTATTATCCCTCTCATTAGTCTCGGGAACAGAAGCAGAACAATTACAATTCCCATCTTTTGTCATGACAGATCAACCAACCCATCACGCGATATTAGTGGGTATCAACGCCTACCCAGACATACCATTGAAAGGCTGTGTTCGTGATGTTCTGGAGATCAAGACATTACTCCAACGTCACACCGTCCCAATCGACATCAAGCTGTTCACAGCCACACAAACCGAAACTGGAGTTGAGGAAGACCCCGCGCATTGGCCAACATACAACAATGTGACCGCGGCCTTTAGAGAGGTCACTGCAGCCGCAAAGGCGGGCGATTGTGTCTACATCCATTTCTCAGGCCATGGTACCAGAATAGAACCAGTCAGTGGTTTCTCCAATAAGGCAACTGGCGATCTAGCCTTGGCTCTTCTCCATGGACAGGATGCGAGTAAAGTCCGGCTGCTTGGTGGACATAGATTCGCCATGGTGCTTAATGCTATGGTGAGAAAGGGTTTGGTCGTTACTCTTGTTCTTGATTGCTGCTTTGCTGCTAGTATTTATCGCTTAGAACGAACGAACGTGCGATTCCTGCCACATGACTCGGAGACCTTTATCATTGAGGATGATGAACCCATTGAAACGACAGAGGATGCCCCGTCTGGTTATAGAGATGTGTCCATGCAACCTAGTTGGCTGATCGATCCCAATGGGTATGCCGTTCTCGCAGCTTGTGGTCCTCACGAAGAAGCGACAGAGATCGTCCAGGCTGGTGTCGAACACGGAGCACTATCATTCTTCCTGTCGCGCAGCTTGAGAGACTTTGGTATGAACAAGCGACACCGAGACATCTTCTACCGCCTATCTCCCAGCTTCAAAGCGAACGCACTGGAACAAACCCCAGCCCTATACGGAAACAAGAACCAGGAATTCTTTGGACCGCATACCCTCGCGACTACAAGACCTGTCATTCCGGCCTTCAGAAGTGGACAGAGTCTTGTTCTACAAGCTGGTCAAGCGCATGGACTTAGAGAGGGCGATGACTTTATCCTCTATCCTTCTGGCGTGGTCGATCATAATGATGCCTTGCATGATAACACAGTCACAGCTTGGCTCAGCACCCTTGGACCTCTCACATCTTCGTTGCAACTCATGGATGGAACACCGTTGAAGGAGACGAACTGCGTTGCTGAGCCCCAGACCAAACATTGCTTTCACGAATTTGCGATATCACTAAGCGACAAGATTGCTGAAACTGATGAGTGGCTTGCAGCATTTCGGAGATACTCCCTTGCTGCATATCGGGCATCTGACAATCGCTCTTGTTTATTATCTGTGGAAGTTGTCGGCAACGAGTACAAGATATATAAGGCTGGTAGGGAACTCGACAATCTCCCGATCCTACAACGAAGCACTGCAAGTCCAGCAGATATTGCTGCTCTCTTGGAGCACATAGTGCGCTACGAATTCGCCAAGACCCTCGCGAACAATTTGATATCACCCTCCTTCCGATCTTCCTTTGACATAAACATAACAACTCGATCCCGCGAACAATTCGTTCCAAATACGACTGTCCAGGTCATACAAGACGTTACCAACAAATACATGTTCGAACTCGTCCTCCAAAACAATTCCGCCAGAGAACTGTACCTACATGTCTTCAGTCTCGGGCCTTTCTGGCAAGTCGACAACATATTCTACGGTTCTGCGGTGATTCCTCCGTTGGATGAGGGTCAGGGCTTTACAGGGCGGTTCAGTAAGAAGATGAGAACGGAGGTCCCCAAAGAGATGAGGGCTAGGGGAATGAGTGAGTGCAAGGATACACTCAAGGTTATTGTTACTAGCCACCCGACGTCTTTTGACGTGTTGGAGTTGCCCAAGATTGGAGGGTTGCCAAAGAAGCCGAGTACCAGTGGGAGGTATAGGTCTGGTGGTGACGGGGCGGAGGAGTGGGTTGCTTTCAACTTTCCGCTAAGAACTTCATTGCCTGTCGAGTAGAGAGGGTCTTCGGGGTTTCAGAAGGCATGCTTCATCTAGACTTCCATATGATCATATACCAAAATGTACAAAAGGAACCCAGTACAGCGGCCCAAAGTCTTCATTCTCATCGTCGTCGCAAAACACAATGTCTCTTCCACCATCTCGCTCAATTTCCTGCAACTTCAACCTCCTCTTCCTACTTCGAATAAGGCTTGCATCTCTCCAACCATTATTCAGCTTCTTCGACCATTCTTCCTTCATGTAGCGAGCTGCCGCATGCAATCCGCGAGCGACAGCATCATCCGAAATCCCATCGTCCCTGAGTCTTTCGTACAGTACCTTCGCCGTCTGGACACATGATTCATCGTTCACCTCCCACAATGTCCCTATAACATGACGAAATCCTGCTAGTTGGCACGCGCTGATCAGGTGTATGCTCTCATCAGAGAACCTCTACGCCCCGTCCCACAAGCAGAAAGATACGCAAGAAATGGCGGATTTTCGTGCAGTTTTGTGTCGAAGAGCGAAGTAACTGTAAGCGGGTCGCTGTCCCAGTCATTGAGTAACAGCTTACTGCTCAACGGGTTCTGATTATCGCTTTGCCCGTGGCCTGCGAAGTGGAAGATAGTGCAATCGCGTAAATGAGGGATGATGTCCTGCTTCTGCTGGCCGGACTGGAGAGGGTTGAGTGACATTGATCTGCAGATATCGCTAACCAGCGATATCTCTCTAGGGGCAAAGGGTAGATCTGCGCGATACCCCTTCGTGGACTCCATCGCGACAAGAAGAGCATATTGGGATTCGCGTACAGCGGCTTCATGACGGCGACCTTGGATGATTGACTTGATCGAGGAGTTGTAGGAGGATACAGTCCTGTCTAGGACCGTCTCGCGAGTTCCAGGGTAGTAGTCTCCAGCTGCATGAATCGCAAATCTGCTGAGACTACCAGTCGGTATCCACCAGACATGAGGCCAAAAGCCATCTCCCGGTACACTTGCATATCCCAGAAAGTCCAACACAGGCTCAGTAATAGCCTCCCAAAGCCAACCAAGTACCTTTGGCGACCCAAGAGCGTCAGCCAGCTTCTTGCTCAAACCACCCCAGTTCGACTCTGAAGGAGCGTCCCATCCATTGCGGGATACGACGACATCCCACAGGTCGAAATTGCTATCTGAAACCGAGTCGAACTTTTGAAATGGGGTTGAAGGCTCAATTTGTTGCATCTTGTACGCGCCTTCGATGTCTGGCAGCGTGAGCTTCGGTAGCGGTACCAGTCGAAAGCGGTCTGGCCCGATGATGATTGCGTCGCAGCGGAAACGACTCACATTGATTACAACTATAGGGCCTTTTGCTGCGGCGGCTTTCATGTCGGTTTCGGAGGGCGGCAGTAGGTAATCTTCAAAGCCAGGTTCTTTGCGAATCTTGGAGAGTAATTTGTCTAGATTATCGTCAGCTTCTTTTTGTCGTTGTGATTCGCCTTGCCAAGTCTCGTCGGGATCGATTAGGGCGTCAGTATACTGCAAGGGATCGTCGAGTGCACCCCGAAGCTGATTCAACTCCTCTGCGTACTGTGGATGCTGAGACTGCAAGCTCCCACGGTCAGTTCTCATCTCGTCCATAGACTGAGAAAGTACGCCTCTTCCCTCTTCGAGAATTGTCAGCGCAACTCCCGGGTCCTTCCCAGCATTCAGGGCCACCGCGGCGGCTTCAGAGGCCAATCCAGAGACTTGGCCAAGCATGTGCAGCTTGTCCGAGTGTTGATGAGATCGGAATATGAGTTTTGGGAATAGGGCGATTGCACTGGTCGATACCTCGTAAGCCAGATCCCAGTCTGGTACGTCTGCGCAGTAGGACAAGACATCATCCGCGGCCCGAATTCTTTGAAGTGTTGGTGATTGTTCCGCGTGAACAGCGGCGACATGGCATATGATACAATCTCGAAGCTCATCTTGATCCTTCGTCTTGATAGAGTGATACTTGTGACCCAGATGTGTTCCCAGGTTCTTCAATCGACCAGCAAGAGCTGGATGGTCCTTCGGGGTAAGGTCCACGGCTTGGCGACTGACTGTTATGGCTTCTTCGAGATACCCTTTGAGTGCAGGATCAGACCCAATCCCGCCTCTCCAGTGATAATGTCCTAGACTTATACCTAACCTGTCCAGTAATGAAGCACGAGCCTGGTCGTTGTTGGCAACGGCGTTGAGAGCTTGACGTGTGCAGTCAATAGCCTCGTCAAGATCCCATTTGACACCCTTCCCATAGTATCTGTCCATGAGTAGGTTCCCCAGGTCCCCAAAGAATAAAGGTAGGGCGGGGTCATCCTCTTGGAGTGCGTCGATGGAATCTCGGGCAATCAAGATGGCCTTGTTGAGATCAGTCATGGACTTTTTTCTGGCATATCGATCATGAAGTTGAGAAGAAAGGTTATGTATGATCCTGCCCCTGTTGGGATGCTCCTCTGGCACAACATCGACAGCTAGTTGTAAAATCCGAATGCCTTCGTCGAGATAAGCGATTGAGCCGGTAGTGGAGTGCTTCCTATTGAGCTGTTCCGCGAGTCGAAACAAGTATAATGCTCGGTCTTGTGAATTCTCTGGAATGTCGGCAATGACTTGCCTTACTTCTTGAATAGTTTGGTCTACTCTGTCCATTTTTGCCGTGTTCTCAGTGAACAGTGCAAGCGATCCTGCGCAGTTGGTTGTCGATGTGAGAACCCAGGTAGGCTGAGAGCCATGTTCCGTGGTGGGGTCCGAGATATGATTTGCACTGCTACCTGAGTCTGACCAGGATTAGAACCCTTCTCTTACAACTCCTGCGATTACCAGTACGTTCACTCTGTGCCATCAGAAGAATTGGTTGCTGAGATCCTAGGAGATGAAATAATTGAGATAGTTTAGCCGGGTTCAGTTTGACATTTACGCTATCTTATTTCAATACTTAAGTCTTGGAGGATCATTCTTCTTTTACCCAATCGCTCCCATACACCTTCATTGTAAGCACTGCAAGAAACAACGCTTTTGACGGGCGCATGATTAATTCAATTAAAGGAATTCCGTACGTTGTTGTTGGTATCTAAAGACAACTTGACGGATACCTACGCAATGATGGCCGAGTTTACAGAAGACGAGCCTTCACAAAATGCGCCAAACGTGGAGCAGACCGACCCATCGCTTGATCACGACAACATGGCTACGAGCTGCCTGCGCGTAATGTCCGAGTACTTGAAGCCTAACATCTGCGGCTTATCGTCCCCCGGAATCGATAGATCGACTATCCCAAAGGACAAAATCAGCAGTTGCATATCGAAAACGCTTGTTTATGCTTGCACCAACTGGGTTGCACATCTCCAGACGAGCGATACTGCAGAATCTCTTCTAGTGACTCATTTCCTAGAACGTAACATTCTACATTGGCTAGAGGTCCTAAGTCTGATTGGAAGGGCGAGTGAGAGTATATTGATGATCGAGACTTTGACAACTATGGCGGAAGCAAGTTTGAACCCTCGAAAGACCTAATGGAAACTAACCATCTGTAGGAGTCGAAGGCTGAATACCAGCAGTTGTATCTCGAGAACGTGCTAGAACTGCTCTACCGCAATATGTCAATCATCGACTCGAACCCGCTTCAGATTTACTCATCCGTTCTCATATTCGCACCATCGAGTAACTTCGTCGCCGATGCTTTCATGTGGGCGGTCCCAAATTGGATCACCCTTCGCCCAGAAAGAGTCCCAAAAGATGAAAGCCAGCAGATTTTTGAAGGTCACCAAGGTCCAGTAAACGCCGCAGTCTTCTCCCCCGATGCCTCTCTGATCGCTTCGACTTCCGATGATTGCAGTGTGAAGATCTGGCGCGTTATCGATGGGAAGTGCTTGCATACCTTGACTGGTCATAGTGATGCTGTCTTCTCCGCCGTATTCTTTACAGATGGAGGAACTGTCGTTTCCGCTTCTTTGGATAAGACGATCAAATTCTGGTCTGCCAAGACCGGCAAATGCACACGGACATTGAGAGGCCACAATAGCGCTGTACACGAAGTCGCTATTTCGCCTAACTCGACACTTCTCACTTTCTGCTCGTGGATTGAGCTAGAGCTAGAAGCTGGCTCCGGGAAGATATGGATCTGGTCGGTCACTGAGCGAAAGTACTTGCACGAATGGCAAGGGAGCTGGGGAGGAGTTAACTCGGTCGCCTTCTCTTCTGATTCAACTTTGTTAACCTCTGGAACTGAGGATGGTGTTGTTCGCGTATGGAGAGTCGAGAATGGCGAGTGTATTCATACTCTCAAAGGGCACGAAGAGCCAGTCCAATCAGTTGTCTTCGCGCCTGACCTCTCATACCTGGCATCGAGCTCTACCGACGGAACAGTTCGTGTATGGGATTATGAAAACGAGGAATGCTTGCACGAATTCGACTGCCAGGCCTGGGATACCAAAATCTCGATCTCTTCCGACTCAAAGTTCATTTCGTCTGCATCTTCGATGAATCACATCCAGGTATGGAATGTCAAGGAAGCGTCTTGTGAGTACGAGCTAGTTGGACATGACAGCGACGTCAACTCAATCACCTTCTCGCCCGACTCGAAACTGCTCGTGTCCACCTCCAACGACTTTACAATTCGCATCTGGTCTTTAAGCAGTCAATCGGCAAATCTTTCCGCTAATTCCGTATCCGACAACAAGCCTAGTAGATTACAAGCCGTCGTACTATCTCCAGATCAGTCCATACTAGCATCATCCGGTCTCGCAGGGTCAATCAAACTGTGGAACTTCCAGAAAGGAGGCATGACACGAGCGCTGAGGCTTGCAGGTTATGACCTGCTTCACGCGGACGAATTCGAGTTCTCACCCGATGGAAACTTCCTACTAGTCCTTGGCTACTCATCCGGCAGCGTTGCCTGGATTTGGTCTGTTCACGATGGGCGATGCGTCCATGACTTTACCGAACAAGAGTGGACTGCTAGTACTGCAGTTTTCTCGAGAGACTCAAAGACTATCATCATAGGATGTGGTGACTATGTAGTCCGCCGGTGGAGTATAAACAACGGTTGCATGGATGAATTGTCAGGTCATGAGTCAGCTTTATGTGTGGTGGCAGTCTCCCCTGTCGGTGACTTGCTTGCATCAGGGGACTATGATGGTATTGTCCGGCTCTGGAACACTTCCACTTCCGACGGGATAAGTCTACATGAGTTAAAAGGACCTGGCGGACCAATTTCCGAAGCAGTGTTCTCTCCTAACGGACAACTGTTGGCGGTCTCGCATGAAGGCAACACTATCCGTATCTGGGATACTGTTGTCGGAACCTGTCTCAAATCACTAGCTTCTACTGACGAGATAGGCTCTGTCGCATTATCTCGCGACAACCTTCTCGCTTCGACAGGTACGAAGAATAACGACGTCCATCTATGGTCTATCGAGGACGGCACGTGCTTGCAATCGCGCAGCTTTCCTCGTGTTGGGAGTTGTGAGATCGAGTTTGATCTCAGTGGCTCACAAATCATCTTCGACGCCGGTCAATTGTCGATTCAAGCTCCGGATGGCGAAGACTCTGTTCCCCAACTGGTCGACTCTGGGTTTGCATTGAGCAAGGGTAGTAGATGGGTGACCTGGCGCGGGGAAAAGGTCCTATGGTTACCCAGCTCTGTTCATCCAACCTGCTGGCTGATCAGAGGATCTACGGTCGCAATTGGTTGCAATTCAGGAAGGGTGGTAGTCTTGAAGTTTGATGATATGCGACTACAGGACAGATACCCGACATCTTCAGGTGCGAGACTGAAAGCTTTTGTTTAACCTAAGGCTTAGAACCACAAAGTAAAGTGGCCTAAAAGCTAACCTAAGGTTGTCAAATCATTTCGTCTTTTAGGTAAGCTCTTGAAGACCAAACCGCGGTGGAGGTCCTGGGACGATCTGCGTCACTATCAAGCATGGCTGGGAAGTGGAGTCCTCTTCTGGCTATGTGTCGTCGTTTCGCATGCTGGCGTGTTGTCACCTTCGGTCATGAATGACACACTTGCATTTCACAACCTCCATTGAGGCTGAGACCTTTCCTTCTCAGTGCTAATTGCTAGTATAAGAGTGAGCAAGTTTTGTACTAGTGTTCCTTGTCTCCTTTGTGCTTCCTCTCCCTTTGTCGGCTCATGAACAGGTTCTACAGGTAAACAGGACATGTTCTTGAGAGCTATTGTTGCTGTTCAGACATACTTGTTCACTTCTTGGCCGCTTATACCGACCAACTTCTCATCCAATGCCAAACTTGGACTTGCATGTAGCTTTGACATAACGTAAGACCCGGTATTCCCGGACGGACCCTTCCTTCGATTGCGAACACAAGCTTCTTAGCGCTTACGACTGCCGTTTTGGACCCCATTGTTTATCTACAGGCGGATGAATGCCGCCGTTGAAGCAAATCACTTGTACGGACAACTGGTACGCTTGATCCAATTAGAGTTCTATGTAGAGCACGAGTGCGATATCGGATGTGTTGTCCGGGATTAATTGCTTGGGAGAATGTAGGTTACGCCCGCAACTACCGGGGTGTCGGCAGATTTACGCGCGGTGGATGTAAGCATAGCCATAGACGGCTTTATATCTGGCCGTTGCTAATTGGTATAAGTGGCAGGATAAATTGACGATCTTATGAAAGATTCCTAGTTTCATTAGAAACGAGTCATTTAGTATGAGTCTATCATCTGTTGCAGTAACTTTTGCCTGTATCCAATATTCCTAATTATTTGTTAGGATCCTAACTCTTACCACACTACCGGACTCCAGACAACCCGTGTGGTCAACTACAACTCAGGCGGTAACAAGGGCTGACGTTGGGGAGCATTATTGATCACTAAAGCTTTAGCGATTGCAATAGGCCTAATAAATAAATAACAAATTGAATCATTCTAACTCGGTACGGGTATCCATCATCAAGGCATAAGCCACTATTATCTCAAACAAGCCATCCCATGCATCCTTCGGTCTAGATCTTCCTGTGAAATCGCAATCATATATCCGTCTCTTCCATAGTTTACATCAGCGCTACTGACAACGAATTAGTTTTCATCCCTTTGATTGACTAGTGATTATGGTTGCATTGTACTGACCTGCTCGGGCTTCCCATGACTTGTATGGGTCAGCGGGCTTCTTTGTAGGGTCTACAGACCCAGACAACTTCCTCTGGATCTTTTCCTTGAGGGATGGTTTATGTGTAACCTCGAGACCTGAACTTGTTAGACCATTGATCAAAAAGATGGGAAGTTTAAAGCGTACCAGGCTTTGTACTTGTTGAAGGCTTGGTTGTGTCAACGAGTGTTGTCTCAGAGACGTTGGCAGTCTTGTATGTAGCTGATAGTGAAGACATGTTGAAGGTTTGTGTGTGATAGAGCTGAAGTACTAAAACAGTAGTGTATTCAATTGAGTGTTGAATGTCTTGATGATTGTATATCGAATTGATACTCCAAAACATCGGGGGCATCCAGATATACTTATACTGCAACCCATCTCGGCTTGACTTTTGTTGCTTGATCAGCCGCAACCCATAATTGAGTCACAGCGGAACGGTGTGTACGCCTTTCAAGCCATCAATTACTTTCTTGTCAGCCCTGCAGCCAAACGTTTCCGTCTCCGAGTGACACATTCCGCGAAGCGTCACACTAACAATGGTTCGGCGTGCTCAATTTAGACAAACCCCTGTAAGCCGAGCTGAACTATGTGGGGGAGTCATCAAGCCGAGCTCCATAATGGTGAAGCCGAGAGAGTTTATCCAAGCCGATAGTGCATAATCTCAAGCCGAAGCCGCTAAATTCCAAGCCGACACCACCAACATCCAAACCGACACCGTGAATTTTCCAAGCCGACATCCACTTCCAAGCCGAAACCGAGAGATTTATCATCATCGGATTCATCAGCAACACAGCACATCATGGCAGATGCCCCTCTTCTGCGACGCTTAAATGGTAGACCCCAGGCTTGTGATCCATGTCGAGCGCGGAAAGTAGCCTGCGATCACGGTCAGCCCACTTGTTCTCGGTGTGCAAAGCGGAGAGAGTCGTGCATCTACACTATCTCGGAGCCAAGAGTCAAGAAGCAGCGGCTTCGGTCTCCTCCAAGCCGAGCTACATCCAGCGTTCCTGCTACGACTTCGGTTTCCAATCCAGCTTCGGTCCCAAGTACAGCTTCGATCCCTAATACAATCACTACTACAAGTACAAGTGTGGGCCCAAGTGAAGAGTCAACCTCAACTCCTTCACCTTCGTTGGGACCTGGCTATCTCGGCTTCACCAGTCACAATGCAGTCTTTGAAGAAACAAGAAACAGTCTCTCGCTCATCCATGGCCCTTCTCTCGAAATCGAGCCGAGCCCAAGAAGGCAGCCGAGGGCGAGGACTTGTATGATTGAGATGCCGTCTCATCTCCGCGAGATGTGTCTCTTTGTTCTTCGTCACCTTCCTGGTGCTCGCGACGATGTCATGCCTAACAAGCTTCACTGTCGCGTCGACGACTGGATGTTTATAACAATTGAGGATATCTTGAATACTCTCCAACAAGATTGGGGTGAGGTTCTGGAAACCAGAGATGATGCGCAGCTTGAAGAGATGGCTTTGTGCATTAGTAATAATACCTCGAGGCCGATTCGTGACGAGCATTCGAGTGCAAAGGCATGGACTGATCAGTTCACTGGAAATAACATTCGCTGGGAATCAATCGGTCTGATCTGGACATATTGGAATGGCGCTCCTGGAATGGAAGCTGCTGCTGTGAACAAGTGTTTAGGCTATTGCGTTGAGCTTGTTCGCCATTTTACTACTGCAAACGATATCCTTCTTTATCTTTGCTACCGCAGAACAACTATCGAGTCGTTGGTAACAGGCGACGCTGGTAAGTTTCTCCTGCTTCCGTCTTCGTCACCACTAACACCTTCAGGTTTGGCATGCTGGAGCTACGCCGCCGAAACAGTCGCCCTCCTAACCTTCCTCGGTCATCATGTCAACATCGACGACCCAAACTACATTCCCTCCCTTTGCTCTGAGCACAAGCGCCGCATAACAGACCGCGTCTACGCCCTTGATAAAGTCCTCGTGTCCTTCACAGGCCGACCACCGCTTCTTAGCCACCAGTACTTCTCAGGCCCTCTGGCGATGGACATTGATGACAAGGATCTCATGGAAGGTGAAGCCGCTATCAAGCGCGCCATGTCGAGGTTGGACTCGAATGGGTATCGGCCAGATGGGGAGTTACTTGGTGCGGCACATATCAAAGCACGTATGCAGATTGCGCTTATCAAGGGCGAGCTTCTTGAGATGGCGTTGGTGAGTAACGTGAAGGCTACGTTCGAGAGGGTAGCGTAAGTGTTCCATGTCCATTCTCCAAAGGGTTCTCGCTAATGGTGAAAGTGAACTCAAGGCGCGCAGCGAAACAACATATGCGCGGTTTCCTCCGCATCTAATCTATCGAGCAGATGAAATGGACGATCCGAACTGCGACGTGGGTGAGGTTTACGTGAGGATCCTCGTCCGTTTGGAACATTTGCAGAATTTGTTCTTCGCAGAAAGGTTGTCTCTTCGTTTGGGTCACATTGATGAGAATCGATTGCTGGTGATCAGTTTTGAGATGGTCAGCCTGACTCTTCTGTTTTGGACACATCAAGATCGCTTCTCTGGAGTCAGACGAGACTTTGAATGGCTGGTAAGTCTAACAACCCACATCATCTTGTTACATCCGTCTAACAAACACAGTTGATGGCCTTTGCCGCTCCAGGAGGAGGTATCCTGTGTCTCGAACTACTTCGTCCAACATTCCGCGGCACGCATCCCGACTGTCCGAAACTAAGCCGCTCAGCAATAATACAGAAGCTCAGTCTCCTCATCGGCTTCCTCGACTGGGTCCGACCACCCGCTCCCAACGCCGATCTCTGTGCGGACTGCAAAGCTGTTATACAAGGCGTGCTCGATCACAACCTCAACGCTCCCATCGCAGGCGGTGGAGCCCTCGACACGCTTGACTGGGACATTCCGACGCAGTTGGACTTTAACTTTGATCTTCTTGATACATTTGATTGGTTGAGACCTGAGGTGCTAAACATGGCTGGTTGAGGTGAGGAAGCTCTGAATAGCTCTGTTGGTTTGGCTGGGTTGTTCGATATGGATCCAGTGGCTCGTGTCGAGACCAACGGTTTGGAGGTTCGGGGCCCAGGACGAAAGCATTTGCTGCTGTTGTTGCATCGACGTAGCAGGTTCCGGGGGCACTATGAAGAGGACGGGTTTTTCGGTCTTGAAGTCTTCGAAGCCCTTCTCATCCGGCACATTCAGGTTATCTTTCCACATACGATACCATCGACAAACACCCTTATATCCATCCTTCGATCCGAACGCTTTAAGGTGCGCTTCTTGGAGATCCTCGGTGTACCACGGTGCAATGGCAACTCTGCGATCCTCACGTACGAGCTCATGCATCTTCCCAAGAGGATGAAACCACGTCTCCCACTCTTTGCGGTCACGACAGAACACGAGACTCATAGCAGCTTCAGATCTCTGTTCAAGACAATGCTGAGAGTCGAGTTCGGCTAGGAATGGAATGTATCCGAGCATTTCGTAACCCAGCACTTGCTTGGTCATCTGGTTGATCATGTCGACATCAAAAGGCGTTCCAAGCGGCGGTGGTCCAACGGCGAGAAATATGAGCGATTCGAAGCGTAAAGGGTAGTAAGCTACCATTCGCGATAGAAGTGTCGCGCCAAAGTCGTGTCCTACTCCGACAACAGTATTCAGCTTGAGATGGTCCAGAAGCTCAATGGCTTCATCGCTCATTGGCTTTAGACGGTACTGCTCTATATCATCAGGCTTGCTACTCTCACCATACCCAAGCAAATCTGGCACTATGACGCCAAATCCTTCTGCTGAGAAATGCCGTATTTGATGGACCCAGTCGTTGAGAGTGGATGGGAAGCCGTGGAGGAAGAGGAGTGACTTGGTTTGGGTGGTGGGTTTGATGGAGATGAAGGAGTATGTGTTGCCGCTGCGGGCGATGAATGATTCGCGGGGAGGTAAATCCGATGGCATTTTGATGGACTTGGATCGTTATCTTAGGGTGGTAATCATGGCGTCGCAAGATGAGAGCTTCAGTCGGAGATTTATACTCTTAGGCGGAAAGTTATCGGGGACTTTATGAGGGGATCTACACTTCGGTAAGATCCGTTGAAGAGCCTCATTCACGAAAACCTCCTCGTCATCAAGACACCAAAACTACATTCACTACAACGGAAATGCTCTCTAACTCTTTCGATTATTTCTTCTCAATCGCGCCTCGCTCTCAAGCACGCGTTGATTAGGCTCAACTCCATAGCCTCAAAAATCGCGGATGCTCAGGCTGATCAGCCACCCTAGGCAAGGACATGGCGCCCATGTTGAAGTGTTAAACAACGGTGACAGCTGAGATCAGGAGGCTTTGAATCGATGGTTAGGGAGAGTAATAAGTGCAAAGCAGGGAGTGACGGTATATTGTGGCTCAGACATATGAGCTCAGCTTGGTTGCTGGTGAGCATTGCGCGTCTGGAAGGATAAGCAGCCACTGGAAACAATATTATACATTTTCTCCTGAGCCAATCACCACTACCACAATCCGACACTCAAATATAAGCCATAGCTGAGCTTGGCTGCCAATTCAGTCACTTTATACGCAACAATTGACAAGGTCATCTTGACCCTCAATGTCTGATGTCTTAGCAACAGAGGAAAATCGCCTAGCGTCATTCCATCCTGTTGGTGTTGCTGAATCTAGTGTGGTTTCACTCAAGGGGGAAGGTGGCGGGAGCTGTCGTCAGCTGGGTCTCAAAAAGAAATATCGCGCGTTGTGACGTCGCGATATGTCACTGGGGATTGTGTGTCGTTGTTCATAACGGCGAGTCAAGGTGTCTGTATCCATCACGATGCATGATGGGGAGATCTAGTGGTATGAACAGACTCTTGGCTGTTCAAATGTTGAGCCAGTATTCCTGTCCATCATTATTCTCATCTGCGTACTTTCTGTGTTCTGTCTGTCTATCATAATATTGAATCTTGCCCATCAACACTACCCTGAAGCTATGGACACTTTCTGGCGACTCTCTTGGCGGCAGGCCGCCGCACCAATCATGTATCCGCAACGTCGATAAGATAAGATATGATAAAGCTCGAAAACTTGGACTTGGCCATGGACTTGACCATGGACGTGGGGGCCGCCATGACAGACGGGCTGGGATCTAGCTCCAACGCGTGGTGTGGTCAGAGTTAATCTTGACACGTTAATTCTCGGCCAGGGGATTGGACGCCATAGCCAATCTAACCTCGCATCAGGCAAGGATTCAGAAAAGCTTAGCTTCCTTCAACAGTTCGAGCCCCCTTTCCTTTCTTGTTTACGAAAAACAAAGAGAAAAAAAGGCCGCACCCGAATTTTAGTTTAATTTCCTGGGCCGACGCCATCAACGGCACAGCAGATGCAAAAAAACAAGGACTTGTGATTTATGCGGAGAGCTCTTTTGAGCGTTAGCCAAGATTGAGGGGAAGAAATAAATCCGGATATTCATCACCATCCATCCATGGACAGAAAGGACTTCGGTGAATGGTTCGATTCATGGGATGTTGTTTCTAGCTGGTTATCTAGCTAAGCTAATTTAGCAATCTCAGAACAAGAATGCGTCCGCGGCGGAATGGTTACGATTAATGTTAAGCTACACTATCTAATTAAGCGCCCCTTTAAACAACGACGGTTGAGCGTTGCGCTTTCCCACGTGCGACATTTGACTCAAATCAAATCTCTGTTACTATTTATTTTTATTGTAGAGAAACACGTAATCTCGTCAAGTGCATTTTTTGTAACGAAGCATTCTAGAATAATTACGACCCCTATTGAGGGTGTAAAGTCGTATCCAACGGACCGAGATACCTGAGGGTTGACGAAAAATTACGCGTACTTTGGCGAGACGTGACAGGACCGGAAGACCGCCGGGTAGGTCCAAGGTACCTTCCCTCGGTATCCAATACTCTGACCATGCAGCGGGCAAGAGGTGGTCTTTCCTTGATTCGCACTCGCTGCCCGCGGGTGAAAGATGGACACTAACTTAAAACCCCAGGCCTGAAATTCAGGGTCTTGTGGGACTAGAGTCGCAACGCCCCCCCCCCAAACTCCCCTGCTGCGCCTAGTCTCCACAGGGGTTCTTTTCCATTTCGGGAGCATTTTGGCCCCTCTCCGTATCTTGTAGGGGGGTCAAGGGGCGCCAGGCTGTGGTTTTCCGACGGAAGGGATTTTCGTATCGTACCAACAGAGGCGACTATGCCTGAGAAGGGATCCGTATCCGAATTACGCGTTAAACGAGGACTGGTGCAGTAGACTCTTACGGGTACTGTACGTTTTGGAAGTGGTACGCGTAAGGTAACAAACAGGACAAACAGAGGACAGATCTGATTCTGACGGGACACAACACATATACAGTCAGCGCTATAGGTCAATTAATATGGGTTTGTGTCAATCTCAAACGGCTGCCAATTGAGTTGAAGTTGCAGCCAAACGATGCACGTAACGGTTACACAGTCAGGAACAGTACTGTACAGAGAGTCATGGGTTGCATTAAGCTCGTTTTCTAGAACTCTGTTTAGGTTTTTTGTCGACGACTGTCACCTTACCTTTCACCTGGCTAAAATGTCTGGCTAGGGGAAGAAGGTCCAGACCTTGGCTCTTCTTGTTTCAAGCCAACCAACTCCACTAAAGAGGCGACTCCCTCCGCAGGACCTTAGGGATTACACTAGGACCAGTTTTAATATGTGGGTTTGTAGAGAAATGCTTGGCCACAAACCAGGATCTTGGACGATGCTCATCTCTTTTTTTGCCTTTCCTCTCTCCTGCCTCCTCTGCCTCCTTTCCTTTTGCCTACCGTCCTTGGATGATGAGCATGTCGCACATGCATCTTCGGACAGGTCTACAGGGATTAATCACCCTACTCTACGGCGTCAAATGCTCCTCTACTGTAGACAAATCCTTTGAGGGGCCTTGGCCCGTTCGTAGCCCCGGTTCAAAGCTAAGCTTAGCTAGAGCTAAACTAATCGTTTGACGTGCCCCGGGTTGAAGGGACAAGGACCCTACCTGCTTAGTTTGTGCTGGCTCTGTTGAGATTGGATTGGACTGTCATGGATCACAAAACGGTACGAGTGCTGCGCCCACTATTGGTCGTACAGGAACGAGAGAACGAATTAGTTGACGAATGGTTTAATCTGGGGGCGTAGCTTGAGTAAGAGGAGATGATAATTATGGATATCCTCTTTGGGACTGACAGACAGGTAGGTAGCTGTGCCCCTGATTAGCTTGAGTACTTATCTCTTGTGCTGCCTCGGCTGTTTGCTCTGTTGCTGTTCTTGTTTCTTGTTTGCTCTTCATATTTGCGCTCTTTTCGCTGCTGTCTGTGATTCACATCTTCCCTCGTCATTCTTTCTGTGCAATCACGACCTATTACGCACTACTTCCAGCACCTATCGACCTTCCTTTCCAGCATACCTACAGCACCTACACATACACCGAAAAGATCCCGACATCACAATGAGTCGCGATAAGGTCTTGACCGCAGCAGCGGTCGAGCGAATGATCGCCGACGACCAGACTATTGTCATCTACGAAGATTCGATTCTCAAGCTCGATGGTTGGATGGACAGACATCCTGGTGGACGATTGGCGGTTCTGCACATGGTTGGCCGCGATGCAACAGACGAAATGAAAGCGTAAGTTTTAGACACCCGAGAAGATGATAAAATGGAACGAGTGTCGTTGTGGTTGAGTTTGAGGTTATACACATCCATGGCACTACACCAAAAAGAGGAAAACACCAAGATGCTGCATTTACAACACCCCATTGGCCTGTCAGACGAGACAGCTTATGCAATGCATGCGCGGGGTCAAAGCACCACGAAACTACCCTCCATTACATCCAAATGAGATCAGATCAGATTATTAATATTCGTATTTGATATAGTTACCACTCCGAATCGACACTACGAACAATGAAGGCCTATCGGATCGGCCGGAAGCAGGGTCCTTGGACGAACCGCACACCACCAATTAGAGGCGGTGTCTTTCGCAAGGACGCCCCCGAGGAGATCGAAGTCGCGGATTCCTCTGCTTCAGACACAGAAGAGAGTCTCAGCAGTAGCAGCATCCTCGACGATGCTGCCAGCTCTGCATCTTCAGCGACCGATGAAGTTGTGGTCGAAGATGCGACCAAGACCGAGGGCTTGAGACATCGCTCTGCTACCATCAAGAGCGAGAACAACGGAAAGAGAGCCGCCATTCTGCGAGTTGCAAACGCTGGCGTCGCGCGTGAAATTCAGAGTGATTTGGAAACATATCCCTGCCCAGCGGATGTTAAGATCCAGACCGATATTCGACACAAGTACCAGCTTCTCCACGACAGAATTCGTGACGAGGGCTTGTACCAATGTCCTTACATCGACTACGGCAAGGAGATGGCTCGATACACTACCTTATTCACCCTCTTTGGTGTCTTGTTCTATAACCAGTGGTACATCACCTCTGCTGTGTTCTTGGGTCTGTTCTGGCATCAAATCATGTTTACGGCGCACGATGCCGGTCATCTTGCGATTACCTCCAACTTCGTTTTCGATACTCTTGTCGGCATGTTCATTGCCGATTTCTGCTGTGGTCTTTCAATCGGCTGGTGGAAGAGCAGTCACAATGTTCACCACCTTGTGACAAACGCACCTGAGCACGACCCCGATATCCAGAACGTCCCTCTCTTCGCCACCTGCCCATCCTTCTTCAAGTCCCTCAGCTCAACCTACTACAACGGCTTCGTCTTTTACTGGGATGCCGCCGCGGACTTCCTCGTTCCCTACCAGAAGTACACCTACTACCCTGTTATGGGCATCGCTCGCTTCAACCTCTACCTCCTCTCCTGGCTTCACGTCCTCTCCTCAAAGTCCTCCCAGCTTGGAAAGTCGCGCGCTTGGTGGATTCGACCTACCGAGATCTCCTTCATGGCGTGCTACTGGTTCCTCTTCGGCTACTGCCTCCTCTGGCGCGGACTCCCTGACTGGACCACCCGTGTTATCTTCGTCCTGGTCTCCCACATCATCACCATGCCTCTGCACGTCCAGATCACCCTTTCCCACTGGGGCATGTCGACTGTTGATCTCGGCGAGGAGGAATCTTTTGCGCAGCGTCAGCTTCGAACAACTATGGATGTGGACTGCCCTGCCTGGTTGGACTTCATCCACGGAGGTCTTCAATTCCAGGCCGTTCACCATCTTTTCCCTCGTGTGCCTCGACACAACCTTCGCAAGGTGCAGTTCATGCTCCGCGAATTCTGCGCCGACACGGGTATTCCTTACTCTATCCTCAACTTCACCGACGGAAACCGAAAGGTTCTGGGCCGTCTGCAGGATGTGAGCGATCAGCTTGATGTCATGATCAAGTGCCAGCAGCACATGGCGAGAACGGGAGAGAGCGGTTTGCACTAAAATTAATTACATATTCAAATTTTGTTTCTTTGCGGTTCTTAGACTAGATTAGCATATCACCAGAGCGAGTGCGATTTCCTTATTTGAAAGACAAAACAAAAGCAATGGAATTTTTGTCTACTCTACTTGACTTTCCCCCTCGCCGTGACAGTACCATCCATCATATTCGAGCATGTAGAGAACATCGACTGACGACTGCTTATGTTGTTAGCTGCTGTCGAAGCATCGGTCATGTGATTCAAGACTTACATTGTTACCGGTTGATTCTGCCAGTAGTCAT